GATGGATGTGGTCGGTCCTCTGCTAACTGCAAGAGCTCAGAACAAGTATGTGTTACTGGCCACGGATTACTTCACTAAATGGGTGGAGGCAGAACCGTATCCTAGCGTGACTCAGACTCATGTGAGACGATTTATTTGGAACAATATTATCTGCCGTTTCGGTGTTCCCAGATCAATAGTCATGGACAATGGCACAAACCTCGACAGCAGGCAAGTAAGAAAGCTGCTGGAGGAGTATGGAATCAACCAGAAGTTGGCTGCAGTAAGTCATCCTCAGGCCAACGGACAAGCAGAAATCACAAACAGAACCATTTTCGCCTGCATTAAGAAGAAGCTGGAAGATCATAAGGGGAAGTGGTTGGATGAACTCCCGAACGTTCTATGGGCTTACAGAACCACCCCAAGGCGGCCGACTGGGGAGAGCCCGTTCGCAATGGCGTATGGCACCGAGGCAGTTATACCGGTTGAGCATTTAGTCCCCACTATCAGAAGCTTAGCATGGAGTCGAGATCAGAACGACAAGATGTTAAGATTGAACCTCGATATGATAGACGAAAGGAGGGACGCAGCGGCTATAAGGCTAGCATCGTATCAGCAAGTGCTGGCGAATAGTCACAACAAGAGAGTAAAACACAGGGATTTTGCCCCTGGCGATCTGGTTCTGAAAAGAAAAGTGGGGATGGTCAAAAAAATGATGCCACCCTGGGAAGGCCCATACAGAATTGCAGAAGTCATTGGCAAGGGGGCATATACGTTGGAAACCATGGCGGGAAGGCTGGTCAGCAAGCCTTGGAACGCCACGTCTCTGAAGAGGTACTACCAATAAAAGCTAAGTTCCGGCTTCAATTGGATGTTGTTTGTTGTCAATCAAATACATATGAATGAGCAAGTTACTGAAATTTACAAAAAAAGAATTTTCTTTTCCAACGGTCTACTATAAAAACTTAAAGCCAAGTGGCAAGTGGCATTCTAGCCGAGCGCCAGGCACTTGAGCAAGATAAGTGGCAGCTGGCACTATAACCCGAACGCCAGACACTTGCTAAAAACTTAAAGCCAAGTGGCAAGTGGCATTCTAGCCGAGCGCCAGGCACTTAAGCAAGATAAGTGGCAGCTGGCACTATAAGCCGAACGTCAGACACTTGCTAAAAACTTAAAGCCAAGTGGCAAGTGGCATTCTAGCCGAGCGCCAGACACTTAAGCAAGATAAGTGGCAGCTGGCACTATAAGCCGAACGCCAGACACTTGCTAAAAACTTAAAGCCAAGTGGCAAGTGGCATTCTAGCCGAGCGCCAGGCACTTAAGCAAGATAAGTGGCAGCTGGCACTATAAGCCGAACGCCAGACACTTGCTAAAAACTTAAAGCCAAGTGGCAAGTGGCATCCTAGCCGAGCGCCAGGCACTTAAGCAAGATAAGTGGCAGCTGGCACTATAAGCCGAACGCCAGACACTTGCTAAAAACTTAAAGCCAAGTGGCAAGTGGCATCCTAGCCGAGCGCCAGGCACTTGCCATAAACAAACACACGGCAAAGCTAATATAAAAGAAAAAGAGAGAAGAGATATGTATGTATTGAAGATAAGTTGAATAGAGCACAACACATAGGGAAAAAGAGTTCTGTCGTTTCATTAATATTGAGCATTAAGTTTACAAAAGAGAGATGTCCATCATTACAAAAAGATATGGAATGGAAGAATTCAAAGGAGCCCTAGCTAGACGCCTCAGTACCAACAGCATCCTGGTCGTGCCGACTCGCCTCCTCGGCCCCAACAGCCGTCTCACCTTCATGAGGTGGGGAATCAAGGTGAATGACTGAATCGTTCGGCTGGGGTTCAGCGTCAGCAGTGGCTATGGAAGGAACCACGGTTGACGATTGAGGAGCGGTCAGTGGCAGAGCGGTAGGAGGAGCTGTGATGATCCTGGAGGAAGCAATGTCCTGGCACTCATCAAATATACGCTCCGCTTCGGTGGGTTCTGGGTCGACATAGACCCCCAGAGGTTCGATCCCCAGGTCCTTGTCTACCTCATCCGGAGTGGAGCTGGTCTGTCCCTCATCCGGAACCCGGTCGGCGAAACCCTCCCGGAATCCTTGAGCATACCTAAGAGCACCGACCCTTGAGAACCGAGCGTGAAGGGCCAGCATCCCACCACCCACTCTGCTGATCGCGTCGATCAGAGCGGTACGCTCGTCCAGAGCTCTTTTTTCAAAAGCCATCCGAGCAGACTGTTCATCAGCTAGAAGGCGCTGGAGTTCTGCCTTCTCTTCTCTAATTGATTCCCGCTCGGTCTGCCAGACGCTCTTCTCAAGCTGGAGAGCGTCCTTCTCATCCTGAAGGGAATCATTCTCCTTCTTCAGGACATCTCTCTCTTGCTCGGTTTTGTCAAGCCGAGCCAGTACCTCGGTATTCTTCATGGCGAGGAGGTCGTTTTCTTTATTAGCCACCTCCAGGCTGTCAGAAAACTTGCGGGCCCTGGCGTTCCCCATCTCCACCTGCTTCTGCATGGCCATCATTCCGAACAATGTCTGCATAGGTGCACATTAAAAACGGTTAAGCCAATAGTCAGGTCGGGCGAAGGCAAGACCAGATAATATGAGAGAATGCATGAGTTAGAAAATAAAAGTCACCTCCATAGCAGATTGGGGAAAGCGGCTGAACACATCCTTCTGGGAAAGGCCCTTTGCCGCCTCAAGGTCCTTCGGAGTCCACATGCTCATGTAGTAGGCCATAGCGGTCTGGCCATCCTTCAGCATGGTCTCGTTCGGTTTCACGAACGTCCCATCCGTTCGGGTGTACCGAGGGGCCCATGGCGGTAAGGTGGGGATAGAAGAGGGGCCTGAAGCAGAAGCAGAGCCACCAGCTGCAGCAGGCCCAGAGGGAGCAGGAGCTCTAACCGCTCGGTGCAAGAAAGCACCCGGCCCGGAGACCCGGGTCCTTCTAATGAGAGGCTCCTCCTCAGGATCGACTTCACTATCAGGATGAGGCCTTTTGCCTCGTTCTTTGTCCCGACCGCCCCCTGCAGCAGCAGGAGCTATGGTAGCTGGGGGGGACGCGTTCTGGTTGGCAGCAGGGGCGCTGGCAACAGGGTTAACAGCCACTGCGCTCGGGGCAGTGTCAGATATGGTGGCTGAGGAAGAAGCTGACGCTGGAGAGGAGGTCGCCCCAGCAGCAGGAGTGGCTGGGGGAGTATTTTTCTTCCTGCCAAAAGAAGGAATCTGAAGTCTGCTCATGTTGTAGCCGAGTGATGAGAGCGCTAAGAGGTTGTCTGAAGTGAGGAGATCTGAGCAGGAAGGAATATCGTTCAGAACGTATTTCTTCAAGTAGTTACTCCTATCCCTGCAAACACTATAGCTCAAGTCATCACAAGGTATTCCCAAGGAACGGCATAAGAAAGTGCAAAAACGAGGAACGCATGTTTCGCAGGGGCAGTCATGTTTATGAGATTTGAATTTCTTATAGGAGGAGACAGAACAGACACCAAAGGCGCTCGGGATTGGGTAATCCTCTGCAGCCGGCGAAGACCAAGCCCCACTAATGCCCACTATGCTATCCCTCCAACCCTTCTCAGATTTTATTGTGTCCGTACATATGGACATCTTCTCGAACGGGTAGAGGTGGTAGAAGGGTTCGTTAGTACGGATCTTACTGACCTTATAGCACAGAAGGAGGTCTATGAGGTCGAGGTCCAGATTTCTGTCACGCATCAACAAGAGCATAACAGATATGATTCTAAAGAAGTTGGGGTTGACCTGCAGAGGGGATATCCCCAATCTATTGAAGACATAACTAAAGAAAGGGTGCAGAGGGAACCTAACAACATTCAATTGAAGGTTCGTGAATAAGACTTCGCCGGGCAGGAGGCCGGCGCCGGTCATAATGTTAACATCCTGGGGGCAAACCCTAACTTCGATGTTGTCAGGAAGTCTAAGTCTCATACGAAGAACATCCAGATCTACAACCATGGTGGAAGTGCTAGAAGAATCTAAAAGGGGGTAAATGGAAGCCTGCCGAAAGTAAAAAGAACGAAACTAACCTCGGAGGACTGCAAGATCGCTGGAAGAATGACTCTTGAAGGATTTCACCAGAAAAAGCTTAGCACTGTTCTAGAAAGAAAGAGACTTGGCTGATGATGGAGACGGTAAAGGGAAGTGAAGTGGAATTCTAGAGCATTATAAAGGCGAGGGGGCCCGAGGGCCGAAGCGTCGGGAAGGCGAGAAATTCCTCGAGCCCCGGAACATTGATTCTGGATCTGACCGTCCGCTCCCCCACGTGGTTATCTCGAGCCGTCAACATCATGATGAGACGCCATCAATAATTACCCCTTATTAAATAAGGGGCAATTATGGGGGCAGTTGAGGAGGCCCCGGACGACATGGGCCGGATCCGACTCGCAAACACAACATTCAGTTCGTATAGCTGGGTCGGCCCATATAAAGACACTGCCATATGGGCCGAACGGGAAGAAGCCCATCAAAGGTGACCAGGGCTTATGGAGGAATAGGCCCAGATCCAGCAATCAGTAAATATCTTGAAAATATCTTGTAAATATCTGGTAAATATCTATAAATAGGATATGGAATGGAAAGGAGGGGGATCTTTTTGGGTTGAGGTGTAAGAATTCTAGAGAGAGAAGGAGGAGAAGAAATTTCTTGCATCTTCAGAGAAAAATGGTGTTAGAATATGAAAACCCTAAATCAAATATTTGGTTCTCTTCAAAACCCAAATTGCATGTGTGAGAAAAGTTAAAGTCTATGTCCGATAATTTTGAATTATAGATGATTTCAGAATGAGGGAGATTTTTTTAGATTCTACGTTTTGAATTTCAATGCGTATATATTTCAACTTGGGTATTTGTATTATACAGTTGAGTTTAACTATGGTTAAGTAATGAACTTTCCTGCCTAAAACGACGCAGCTTAAGGGCCTTTTAAAGAAATAACTACGTGTAAAAATATTGGCCAAGTAAATTATACACAGCAGGGGACCGCATGGGAGATAACTTCAGGGGATTCACGCCCCTCTCATGTCAGCTTCAACTAAACCCTTAACTAAACTAAAGCCTTACGATTCGAAAAATAAAACTTCAACTAACACCCAGTCTCTCTCCCGGCTGTGCTCGGCATTGACATCTTTTGGGTGAGTTTTCTTCGCAATCAATCTTGATGTTATATATGTGTATGTAAACATGTATGACTGTTATATACTTGTTAAAACTGCTTCTATGCGTGGGAATTTGATTTTAAGTGGCCTCTACATGTTTGATAAATTGCCCTAAAGACAGTTAGGGCTTTTTGATCCTCACAGTAGTTATGAGAAGGTAATTAGGAGACACTGACAGTACATCTCTTTCCCTTTCTATAGATATAAGTTTGGGGTTTTGTTGTAATATTATTTTCCTCCACATGTTTGATAAATTGCCCTAAAGACATTTATTTCAGAACCTCGCTCTCTTGGCTATCAAAGAGTAATAAATTGCCCTAAAGACAATTAGGGCTTTTTGATCCTCACAGTAGTTATGGGAAGGGAATTAGGAGACACTGACAATACATTTTTTACCCTCTTCTATATATGTAGATTTAGATATAAAATATGGGGTTTTGTTGGTAATATTATTTTGGGTTTATATCCCTTCTGAAGAGTTCATGTCATAGAAAATATTCAGTTATGGTAGTTGAGCATGAAATTTTTCATGGATTTACATAGCAAAAAGCTACATAATATTTTTTATAATAAAAGCAAATCAATTTTCAAGACCTTTCGTTTTACATAAGATGCATACTGTTTAGGTGACACAATTTTCTACAAGCTACTCCGCTAACCCTCCTTAAAATTTTTATCTTTGGCAGAGGATTTCTTTTATCAATACCATAACCTCATACATAAGATTTTAAAGATGTTGCTGATTGATCCTGCAAAGAAGATATCTTTTCAGCGCTGCATTAGTGATGGAGATTTGGTTATTGTATATGAGAGGCATGACACCATGAAGGCTGTTAAAGTTTGTGAGGGTTCTATGCTGCAGAACCGTTTTGGTGTATTTAAACATTCGGAATGGATAGGGAAAACCTTTGGGTCCAAGGTGTTCAGCAACAAGGGTGGATTCGTTTACTTGTTGGCGCCAACTCCTGAGCTATGGACTCTGGTTCTAAGCCACAGAACTCAGATTCTATATGTTGCAGATATTAGCTTTGTTGTCATGTACCTAGAAATAGTGCCTGGTTGCTTGGTTCTTGAGTCAGGCACTGGGAGTGGATCTTTAACTACCTCACTAGCAAGGGCTGTAGCTCCCACAGGACATGTATATACATTTGATTTTCATGAACAAAGGGCTGCCTCAGCTAGGTAAAGATCGAGATCCTTATTTAATTTTTTAGGTTAGTGCTTCTTGTGATATTAGGTTCATATGTACTTTCTTAAGTTTCAATCTCAAAATACAGTTCAGGATATTTTAATTCTAATTATTAAATCATCGAGATCCTTATTTAATTTTTTATGTTAGTGCTTCTTGTGATAGTAGGTTCATATATACTTTATTAAGTTTCAAACTCAAAATATAATTCACTTATCAAAAAAAAAAAAAAAAAAACTCAGAATATAATTCAGCATTTTCTTATTCTAATTACTAAATTATCCAGATCCTTATTTAATTTTTTTTTGTTAGTGCTTCTTGCGATATTAGGTTCAAGTGTACTTTCTTAAGTTTCAAACTCAAAATACAGGTCAGGATTTTTTAATTCTAATTATTAAATTATTGAGATCCTTATTTAATTTTTTATGTTAGTGCTTCTTATGATATTAGGTTCATATGTACTTCCTCAAGTTTCAACTCGAGTTCAGGATTTTAGAGTTCTGTTGCTGATTTTAACTCGAATTTAAGATGTTGTAGTTGAACTTATTTACTTGACTTGATTTAATCTTGGATTGACCACCCACATTATAGAAGTACTCAATTTTTTAATACCTCTAAAGGTTATCTCTCAACCTGTTTTCTTCAAAAGGTACATTGGTAACTAAAGAATGAAGTGATTTGTATCTGTAGCTCATTTAGTTTATGTTCTGTGTAGCACGTTACTTTTTCAAGTGGACCAAGCCATCCTTGCACACTAGTGGGTGCTTATTTGTATAGGTATTTAAATGAAGAAGGTACTTAAATTAAGCTTGTTTACTCGATTTGAAGATAAGTTTCACAGTGCTACTCAATTTTAATAACAAACTTCATTAGCTTTCAGAAATAGTTATAGGTCATATAAAGTTCATATCCTTGATAGTATTCTGCTCCTCTTGTAACTTCAATGGAACCTGTTCTGCCCAAAGATACTCGAGGGAAGGAAAATAGTACGTTTGCTGCTCATTGTTTCTCATATGTATGTCAAACAAAAAATTGACTTGGTTTCTTTCCATTTTTCCTCGATAGGGAGGATTTTGAGAGGACGGGACTGAGCAGTTTAGTCACTGTGGGGGTCAGAGATATTCAGGGTGAGGGGTTTCCTGTAGAATTTTCTGGGTTGGCTGATTCTGTCTTCCTGGATTTACCACAACCCTGGCTGGCAATTCCTTCTACTGGGAAAATGTTGAAAAAAGATGGGATTATATGCTCCTTCTCACCATGCATTGAGCAAGTACAACGTTCATCTGAAGCTCTTAGATTGAATTTTACTGGTATGCTTTTATGCAGCTGATTCTTCTAGATATTTATCTCTACCAGTGCTTTCTTTTTCTTAAATTAAGTTTTCTTGTTTTTCAAGTGTTCGTGCATTCTTCATATATTGATTTTGTAGTTAAAACTTTTTACTTGTCTGGTCCATGTTGAATATTCATTGATGGATATTTGTACATGTGCATGTATCTTGCAGACATAAGAACTTTCGAGGTACTCCTTAGAACGTATGAAGTTCGGGAAGCGAAAATGGATTGCTGCGAGGGTGATGAAGGGGCTTCTCTCGGGTCTCTTCCTCTCAAGAGGAGGCAGCGATCAAGTGAAGGAAGCAATGGCCAAGAAATTTCTACTTCTCCCACAGTCATGGCTAAACCATCTGGTGAGGCTAGAGGTCACACTGGCTACTTGACATTTGCAAGACTTAAATGCCTCTCATAGAAAGCATGACTTTGCTTTTGCCCGTTCAGGTTAGAAGAGTTTGCTTGCTTGTATTTGGTTCCGTAGAAGAGTTTGCATGCTTGTATTTGGTTCAGTACATTGTTAATTTGTTACTAAATCGGGAGCTCCGAAGGATTTCATAGGAAGTTCTTTCTTAAATGGTGTTTGTGTCTTATGACTTTGTATTTTCTTTTAGATCTTAGGTGTTTGGAAACAAATGCAAGGCAGAATAGCATCTACTGCTAAAATTACTGAAATATATATATATATATATATATTTTTTAATGAAATTGAGACTGGTTTATGAGCGCTGATATGGTAACTATATTGTTACCAAAAGAGTTTTATAACACATTTAGTTATTAAAGTATTGACCCTGCCAAAAGCTCTAGGTGAAGGTAAATCAGTGAAATCACGACCTTCAATCTATCCGACTAGCTGTCCACGATGCATTTCCACTACTCTCTCATATTGCGCATCATCATTTAGCTATTGTATATATTCAGTCAATGGTCCCCGGGGATTAGGCTGGGAGTTCATACACGGCCAAATCTTGCACTTAGACCCTTCGCATCTCATCAATCAAGGGTGGGCACTGCTCCATCACTAGCGGCTTCGCCTGCCTTTCCCCACCGGGACTCATTATCCATCCGTAACCCAACCCATCCTCAGCCCCTAACTCTTACCTACTAACGACCCAAGCACAATTTTCCAAACTTGGGAGTTTGTTTCAGCTATTAGTTGGGTGGTCTCATAGCCATTACTTGGGAATTTGGGTTGTAATTCCATTCTTCCTTTCATACAATTTATGAGATCAATGCCCTACATTTATTGACCCTAGCATTCATGTGAAATGTTTATAGGTCATGTGAGCTGTGAATCGAACCAAATGGTCATATTCAAAAGCCAAACAAATAATAACACACGTTTAACATAGTCAAACTTTTTTATACAAAAGCTGGAAAACATGCCATAAACACAATTCTCTCTCTCTCTTGCATGTGCACTGTGCGCGCACACAAGCTACCTACTTGTCCTTTTTATAGCATAACTACAGGAAACCAGAAAATGACATCAAACACCATACCTAACTCTTCAATATCCTGTTCGAGTTTTTTTCGAGAAGACTTTGAACACCCTAGAAAGTTGGCTCATTGCATCATCGGAACATTTTTGCAGGAAAACACAGCCAAACACCTAAGAGCTCAGAAACTTCCCAAGAGAGACCATCTCCAACAGGTCCATCTCCTTCTTCACATCAAGCTGCATCTGATTACCCACTTCCAATGGCATTCCGAACTCCAAATTGCTCTCAACAACAGAACCACTAGGCATGTCATCAAGCATGGACCCAAAACTACATTCGTCAGAAAAAGTTTCTGCGTCAAAAGATAAGTCCCCGCTCTCACAATTACTTGGGACTAGCTGATCATTGAGGTCGAAATCTGATCTCTCAGACTGAAGTTGTGGACAGAACATAGTATCAACCACATGTGTGTTGGATTCCGAGAATGGGTTATTTTGATATCCAACGCGATTTTGATATCCAACCCAATCTGAATCTGAGGTCACGCTCTTGATGTAGTTCTGCAAGAGGTAGTTGTTGTTCTTGGTGTTGCGATTATTGCGCTTTGCAAATTGCCTTCTTTTTGTTGCATTCCAATGGTTCTTTATAGTGTTTTCAGTCCTTCCAGGTAACCTCTTTGCAATTTCTGACCATTTATTCCCTAGTTCTCTGTGGGCTCTTATGAGTATCATGTCCTCTTCCTCAGTAAATATATCTTTCTGCAAATGAAACAGATAAATAAACAGTAGTAATTGTAAAACTATGCGTTCATGCCCGTAGCTGTATTCTTCTCGTGTGTGTGTATACTCATGATTTCTAAATGAAGTGAGAAGTGCAGTGGATATATATATATAGGAGAAAAGTCATGACAAACTAAGAAGAGGACTTGCGAATATGAGATATTTGGAGATTGAAATGAGTAGTGCTTGAGATTATAGGTGTTAAGAAAATGATCTTGATGAATGGTTGGTAAATTATAGGTGTCCATGTGTTGTTTGAAATGTAGGCTTTTCAAAATGGAATTGCTTTCAATCCATTTGATCCATTCTAAAATCTTCCTAACATAATTGGATTTTGGAAAGATTGAATTAAAAACAGACTTTTATTTTACCATTTTCTCCTACATATACGGCGGCAATTATCATAGAGGATTCTTCATTTTTATTATAACAATATCTGATACCAAAAATGAGAACGAATTTAGGCTTCGTTTGTTTCGATGTAAAACATTCTTTTTGGAAAATATTTTTCTTTTTCAGGTAAAATATATATATATTTTTTTAATTTGTCGGTGTTTGGCAAATGTTTACATCGAGGTTAAGGTCGAGTCCATTCGGCGGAGCATGTAAAATAACTTGCTAAAAATTAATGGATAAATTATTTTTGTTAAATTTTAATATTTTTTTTCTTCGTAAATATTTTATGGACAACCAAACACCATAAAATAAAAAAATATATATTTTAAAAAAAATATTTTACGTCCAAACAAACTGATAATGTAAAATACTTTCTATTCCCTTCCCCTTTCCATATCTTTTTTCCAATGGAATTTTGTTCCAAACACAGCTTAAACACACACACACACACATATATATACACATATATATATCCTTAGTCATAATCCCATATACACACATTGTATATATATATATATATATATATATATATATATATATATATATATATATGTTTAGTTGGAATGAAGGATTGAGAAATGATGGAAGAGATGAGGATAGAGGAAGCTTTCCTTGTTTGGTTGGAATTGGGAAGGGAAGAGAGGTGGGAAGTAAGAAGGAATACTCCTAAGTTCCTAACATACATATGTTCAATTTTTATCGGTTCAAAATTGGGTGAAAGAAATAAAAAAAGACTACCTATAAATTCTTTCCAATCAAACAAAAAAACATTTCATCCTATTTATCCTTTCTATTGTATCTTTCATTCAATCAAACAAAAACTGAGGGACACCTTCTCATTCGTCATCTTCCTTTCATCCATTTTTTCATTCATCCAACTAAACGGAGCATTGAGTATTTTTGAAATGAAAAATTAAAGGTTCAAGCCCTTAAGATGGGGCACAAAGGATTGATATATATATAAGAAGTGAAGTAATTAATTCAAAACTCCTTTACAAAATTATTTAAAGGCAGGCTTGAACATGTAATGCATGACAATTTGGCAAATGTATAAAGCAGTTGAAAAAATTAAAATTTTATGAACAACAATGTTAAGCGCGTGACCGCACCGCATGACATATGAGCAGTGAGTGTGTGAACTAGAATGAGACGAGCCAAAAAACAGAAAAAAGTGCAAAAAATGCAAAGTAGGAGAAGCATAAAAAGTGAGAAAAGCTTCATGTTCTAACAAAATAACATAAGTATGGCCCGTGCCTTGTGTGTGAGCCTGTGAGGGCACCGTGCATTCATATTAGCACAAGACTTCAATGTCTTGTCTCAAATAAAAGGAAAAAACATTGTGTCAAGTGCATGGCCTGTGTGTATAGCATACTAACTTACAAGAAAAACGAAAACGAAATAGGGATTATACATGGGTGTCACATATAGCGTGTATACAAAATGCAAGTCTGTGTGCGCGTGCGCGTGGTTAACATGAATAATTGAACGTGTGTCATGTGTGTTCTTACTATCGTTTGATTGAGTGACCTAAATCTTAGTCCTGATTGAAAAACCTAAATCTAAATATCTCAAATCCAGTAAGTGTACTTGTCGTGCGTGTTTTTACTGCCGTTTGATTGAGTGACCTAAATCTTAGCCTTAATTGAGTAGTCTAAATCTAAGTCTCTCAATCCAATAAGTGCACATGTCGTGCGTGTTCTTGATGTCGTTTGATTGAGTGAGTTAAATCTTAGTTTTGATCAGGGGCGGAGCCAGGAATTTGGTTCAGGGAGGGCATGTTAACACTGACAAAATAATTTTTTTTTAAGCAGGCCGAAAATATAATAGTGTAACAACAGTGCATTAGAATAAGTGAATAAAAAATGAATAAATAGATAAAAAAAAGAAAAAAAAAAAAAAAAAAAAGGGTTATTGCACATAAATTATGCATGAGTGCAAGAAAAAATAAATTTTTAAGAAGAAAAATGAATTTTTTAAGAAGAAAATGAAACAAAAAGAAAAAAATATGAGAGAATTTTGAAGGAAAAAATAGATTTTAATTGTAAAAAGAGAATGCAAAAGTTTTTGAAGATGACAAAAAAAAAAAAAAAAAAAAAAAAATTGAAGAATAAGAAAGAAAATGAATAAAGAATTAAAGACGTTTTTAGAAATAGATAATTTTATGGAGATAATTTATAAATTTTATAAGTGTGTTTTATAAATATTTACAAATTATACGCATAAAATAAAATAAAATATAGTAGATTTAGGGGCAAATGGACCATTTTAATAATTTCAGGGGGGCATTTTATCAATTTTTACAAATATATATATAGTGGGGCAGCATGGGCAGGGGGGCAGCTGCCCCCCCTGGGCACATGCTGCCTCCGCCACTGATTTTGATTGAGAAACCTAAATCCAAATCTCTTAATCCAAAAAGTGCGCGTGTTACGCGTTTTATTTCCGTAGTTTGATTGAGTGACTTAAATTTTAGTCTTGATTGAGAAATATAAATCCAAGTCTCTCAATTCAATAAATGTGCGTTCTTGCTGCCGATTGATTGAGTGACCTATCTTAGTCTTAATTGATTGAGAAACCTAAATTCAAGGCTCTGAATCCATTAAGTGCAAGTAGTGTTGGGTGTGTTCTTGCCGTTGTTTAATTGAGTGACCTAATCTTAATCTTGATTGAGAAACCTAAATTCAAGCCTCTAAGTGCATGTGTTATACGTGTTCTTGTTGTCGTTTGATTAAGTGACCTAAATCTTAGTCTTGATTGAAAATCCTAAATCCAAGTTTCTCAATCCAATAAGTGCACATGCCCTCCATGTTCTTGTCGCCATTTGATTGAGTAACCTAAATCCAATAAGTACACGTGTCATGTGTTTTTGCCATCGTTGATTGAGTGACTTAAATTATAGTCTTGATTAAGAAACCTAAATCCAAGTCTCTCAATCAAATAAGTGCACGTATCGTGCGTGTTCTTACTGTCGTTGATTGAATGACTTAAATTATAGTCTTGATTGAGAAACCTAAATCCAAGACTCTCAATCCAATAAGTGCACATGTAGTACGTATTCTTGCTGTCGTTTGATTGGGTGACCTAAATATTAGTCTTGATTGAGAAACCTAAATCCAATAAGTGCACGTGTCATGCGTGTTCTTACCGTCGTTAATTGAGTGACCAAAATCATAGTCTTAATTGAGTAATCTAAACCTAAATCCAATAAGTGCACGTGTCATGCGTGTTCTTGCTTCCGTTTGATTGAGAGACCTAAATCTTAGATTGAGAAACCTAATTCCAAGTCTCTCAATCCAACGCGTGCAGTGGAGTTCCAAGGCCAAAGCATCTTTTGACAGTTTTACAATTAGTTAAAAATAAAATAAAATAAAAAATAAAAGTTAAAAACCTTTATGTCCGGCTTTAGATGATTGTGCCATCTCTCCCTACACTGCTTTCCTACTCTCCCATTCAGCATCTGAGCAATGTGAGACCATTTCCGAACCCCATACTGTTTTACCAACTGCACCAACAATCTACAAATTGAAAGAAAGAAAAAATAATAAAAATCAATGAGATAACCTTCAGGATTCAATTAGAAACACAACCAAACAAGAAATTTGTAGAGAAAAGGGAAAAAGAAACAAATAATCTTGAATTGACACAAAGAAAAAACTAAAACAAAAAAGTGTACCTATCTTCTTCAAGAGTCCATTGGCCTTTAACTACAACATTGGTTTTCATATGACCTTTGCTTTTCTTCATCTTCTGCCTCCTTGGATCATTACACCCACTCTCTGCATTATTTTCACAAGAGAGCTCGTCCCCATCCGGCAGAGATGCTGCACTCATCGATCCCGATTCTTGAAAAAGAAATGGATGATAAAATTGGCTCTGATCCATGGCTTGGACTGAAATTTTTGGAAGAAAATTCAGTGATCCTTTACTCTGAAACCCATGCATGAACTGATCATTTGCATCACTACCCAATGCTAAGGCTTTCGACGCATATAAATTGGAATCTTTCGAGTACCCAATTGGGGAAGAAGATCGAAAAGGATCAAATGGATCATAAAATGGAGTTACAACTCCTGGAAACAGAATGGATGGTGGTTTTACAATGGAAAATTCATCAAAATTTGGAAATTTTTTATTTGATCCTCTAGATGAATTACAAGATTCTATAGAAACCCCATTTCCTAATAGGGATTCCGGGTAAAAAATTGGATGGAAAGTAGGATTTTGTTTAAAGTTTGCATCAAACTCCATGGAGTGAAAGAGCAAGGAATGGAGCAGGAGGAGAATAGCAACAAAGAGATGGGTTTTTTTTTTTTCTTTGTGCGCGTTTTGAAATGGCATATGTGGGCTTAATTAGTGAAAAAGGAAAGGAAATTGGGCTGATTAGTTTGTGACCGTCGATTATTGGGCCTGATCCAACGTTTGAAATTGCTAGTTGAGAGTGACGGTTAAGCTTCCCTTTCTTAGTATAGTCAAAGGAGAGCTAAAAAATGCAATGATTAGGTCGTTATAAGGCCTTGTCTTTTTACACCATCTGAAGGACACGTGGCACTTTTCTGTTGTGTATTTGCTTGAGTTTGTAAAGAAGTTACTGGTTGGAATGGCAAACTATTTCGAAATGATTTAGTTTAAATTTGTAACGACATTACTGATTCAAATTGTGAATTATTCCAAACTCAATTTAAAATAAAATGTACTTAAAAAATACATTATTAACATGAACTATATAATAGAAGAATAAAATAATTCAACAATCGATCCAATTGTATTTGCTAATACATTCCAGATAAGTTCCAATCAAAATTTGAGCGTAGGTTTGTGAAGAAGATGTTACTGGTGCAAATCGTAAACTAAGTAAGACTTGAATTTAAAAGATAAAATAAACAGCACTTAAAACATAATACACTTTATTTTTCTTTTTTTTTTTTTGTCCCCAACTTGGAAAGCCTATTTGGAGGCATAGTGTGTTGGACATTAATGCCTCTGTTGACTGACTCCATTTTATATGTAATTTTAACTCTGCTAAATATGCTTAAATTTACGTTACATATGTATAGCCATTGACTTAGTTTTGCTTTTATTAGGTTTTCAAGACAATTAAGATTTGTTTTAACGTGTGTTAATCTTTCAATAAAGAGAAGTAATCAAAAGTTAATTAAAGAATTACACCTTTTTCTCCCTTGACTTTTCTACTTTTGTGTAATCTCTCAGACTTACCAAAAATGGAAGAAGATGCTCTCTCTCTCTCTCTCATATTTAAGGCCATTTTATCTCTCTAGAGGGTGTTTGCTTTTCTTATGTCGATTTTTTTTCTGTTTCAACCAGAAACCAGAGCAAATTTCTTCTATTCTTTTAATCACTAAATTATGAATTTATGACTCTCTCTCTCTCTCTATAAATATATTTTTCCTGGATGGTAAGATGTATTGATAAGTATAAATGACAAGGGGCAAGCCCAACATTTACAAGCCAACCAAAAACATGGCAGGACAAAACCAAGCCCACAGAACCCAGCTATATAAAGCCCAGCCCAAAATCCAAATTCGATGTTAAACAATTTTTTTTTTTTTTTTTTTTTTTTTTTTTTTTTTTTTTTTTTTTGTGAAAGGTAATTCGATTTTAAACTTGTGACAAGCTGAGAAACAATTTATTTTCAGGGTACAGTAATTTTCTTGAACTCCCTAATCCTAGGCGCTGTTTGACAACTTTTTTTTTTTTTTTTTCGGTGGTTGATGGAAAGCAAAGCAAAACAAGGAAACGCCTTTGGTAATTTTTATTGCGATTTGAATAGTAAGTATTTGTTTTCAAAAAGATGCCAAAACCGAAATGTTTTCATATTCCGGCAATGAAAAATATCAAAAAAAAAAGCTCTTGAATGACTTTTTAACTAGTCATTTTAATTTCAAACTTTCAAAAAAAATTTACCAAATATGTTTTGAATACACTCCACAAAAAAAAAAATATATTTTTAAAAATTTCGGATGAAAACAAAAACATAAAACAACCACAATAGTAATAAATTGGAATTTTAGTGTATACAGGGCAAAGCAAACAATTCATTTATCAAACAACATAAGAACAACTTGATAAAACAGGAGAGCATAAACAACATGGAGAAGTCTCATCCAACAGTGGATATGCCTTGAATTCCATTGAATTAAATGGAACTTGGATAGGGTGCAAGCCGTTAACAGAATTAACAGAGGAAAAACTAAAGAAAAGGACCTAATAGATTTGAATCAAATACTGTATCTGGAAAATTGGTCCTAATGAATTTATTCTTGTTTCCCCATTATACATTTAACCAAGTCTAGAATACGAAAATAATCATAAAAAAGTGCAGAATGTTCACCCTCAAGTCCATCCCTGCTCACCCGATTGCTGCCTGCAAGGTTATTGCAAGGGCTCCCACCAACAACAAGATCAAAACCACCAAATGAATTCATCAACTCCTCCAACCGGTCACCGTTGAGCTGTTGCACATCAGCAAGGTCAATCAGATTTCCTTTTTGGTTGGTTTGCTCCCACCAGCACCTGACAATATTTCTGTTCACTTCGGAAATCTCAACTGATACAACATTTTTCAAAGGGATACCAAGCCGATGAAGGGCTACTTCTGCACCACCAATCCCAGAGAACAGAGATAAAAGGTTGATGCCCCCTGGGAATAAGTCCTTCAAGACAGAAAGATGATACGCCACTGTATCGACCTGAAAATATTTTATCCCATAAGATACATGACAAATTTGAGATTCGGGAAAATTGTCATTAAAAATTATTCAGAATATGGTATTTTACCCAGAAAAATCATGTGAAGGAAGAGTTTGAGTAGAAAATCAATTCAATTAATTAAAATTATATTTATTCTAGAACTACTGGGAATAATCCATAGGTACTTGAAATATCAAAGCATTAAGGGAAAATGCAAAAAGACCCCCTGATATTTTTTATTTTTTGGCAATAAACCCCTCTGGAAAAAAATTATATGGTAAGAAACCCCTTATAGTTTCTGAAATTACGCCCCTGCCTCCGACTAGTTCACGTTAAAAAAGGGACAGAAAAGCTCACACGACACAATAACTGATGCCGTTTTGCTGACAAAAATTCCCGTGGGCATATTTAAGTCTTGCAACAGGATTTGGATCATGATTTTGACCCAAATTTGCGAAGGGTCATATTTGATAGTAAAAGAGATCAAAACTCTACTTGGAAAATAACCCAGATTAGCACCACCATGACCATACCTCGGCGGTTCAGCATCAATTTACCAGTCATATCCAAGTAACCACCAATAACGTTGTTATTTGGTTCTTATAAAGCAGACAACCCATTTCTCATCCATGAACCAGTGTGTGGTGCATGTATTAGCAATTGTAGTCTCAAAATTCAAGCTCTTCCATAGATTCCTACCAAAACCTCCACCATGAACTCAGGTCACCATCTCCATTTTGTTATTACCTTAATTTCTTTGTGAACACACACACACATATATATATATTTGTTGGAGAATATCAATATAGGATATTTCTCCAGATATTCTCCAACAATTTTGATCCATCCTCAACCCACATAACCACCCAACTCCCATTGAAAAACAAACTATTCGAAGTGACCCAACATATTTGTCAACCTAAGATCACTGTCACCACTCAATCAAATGCCATCATCAATGGCAATGGCTTCGACAAAAAATTAATAGCTTTATGTAGGTCAATCGATGGCTTCTATTTTATAGGTCCATTTCATTTGGGTTTGCAGAAAAGATAAAACAAAGCCTATAAACATGAAGAAAAAAGGACCCACTGATGATGTAAAGGGCGGGGATGACTAATTCCTCTCAAAACCATTAGCAAATAGAAAGGCACATCTACAGTGAGTTTTAGTGCCCTTTCTCAACAAACATCAAAATCTTACCACCCTAATTAATTACAGATATGAGATGTGTACATAATAAATACGAAGATATACAGATGTACATATATGTTTGGTGTTTGGATAGAGAATCTCTTCTCTTTTACACACATAACAAAATTCCAGATTAATTTGGTAAAGCAGTTTTCATAATCTATCACATTTCATAATTCTCAATAAGATGTTTATGATGCCACGACAAATTGTGATGCAACAAACTGACTACAAGAACAAAAGGGGAGATAGCTCAGATGGACAACGTTGAGGCTTCCAGATAGAATTTAAGGGTGGGACAGTTGATCGTGTACATTAAACCTTAAGCAAATGACAATGTATTGGTTAGAATCATTTTAGTAACTTTGTATCATATTTCTTTCTCCTCTCTCGCTGATTTCATGCTACAAGAATGAAAATGTAATTTTGGGTGCTCAATAACAGGAAGTAACCAAAAGGGGGAGTTCGCAAAATGCCAATAGTTCAACGGGATTTTTTCATTTTTCCAAATATTTATGATTTCTTCAACATATTTGACGAGAAAAATTGTAAAGAGAGAGTGGCATGAGAATAAAAGAAGTGTTCACCTGGAATGAGTTACCAAGAGATTTATATCTGTCGGTCCTATTTATACCTCCTCCTCTTGTATGGTTCTTCGGGAACCCCAGTAGCATTTCTATTTCATCAGGCTCAAGCGGTGCCACCTTGTTCCTTCCAACCCAAACCAGATTCCATTTCCTACACTCTTCGAGAACATACTTTTGCACATTCAGGGGTGGCTCACCGTCCCAGTCTTCAAGAGCCTTGCGAATCCTCTCAGTCAGCTTTGCACTCCCATAGACAGTTTGTAAGCAATTTAACTTTGTTCGCGTATCCCATGAGGGCCACCATTTCCTTGTTAAGGGTAATGCGTCATGTATGGTCTGTGGGGGAAGCGGAAGAAGTGGAAACCTGTTTTGGATTGGAAGATTGTGAACATAGCCTCTTTTCCTGGCAGATGCGCAAAAATACTTCGAATCCACGAACTCTGGATCAACATCATATAAGAAGCGAGAAATGGTGTCCCAAACTCCTTTTGGAGCAAGTGCTACGTTCTCGTAATAGAAGTACGGAGGCCCAACAGCTGCCTCTGGAATAATTCTTTGGACTACATGACATGGTTCTGTAGGTACTCCAAATCCAACCATTGGATTTGGAAGACGAATTGTCTCATCTTCTTCACTTAGGATCTTTTTCTCATGCCCCCTCTGTTTCCTTCTTTTCCACAGCTCATAATCAGAAAACTTCCTCTTCTTGTATCTCCCATTCTGATTTAATATATCCTTCAGCTTTGGCTGTGAAGGGAGGAAAAAATTTTAAATCACATGGAATATTCTGAATCTTTTACAAAAAGAATCAAACAGAACACATATCATGATGCATTAGTAAATAAAACAAAATTTAAGAGCTATCACAAGACTTATTCACATATTGTAAGAACTAAGAAGGGAATAAAGATGACCTTATTTTCATCAGGTAGCTCATTTAGATAGGCATCAGCTGCCTTCGACATTTGAGCAGCACAAATAAAATCTGTCAACTCTACAAGTGAGGCTTCTGGACCTGAATATTTCAGAGCGGGCACTATGAGAGTTGGATAAAGTTTTAAGTGACAAATGTGTATCTAGAATAAAGAGGAGAGACAAACTTTCACTATATCAACTAGCAGAAACTACTGATTATCAAGACCAAACATGTGTACCAACTAGCAAAAACTACTGGTTATCAGGACCAAACGTATACACACATTAATGATGTAGAAATATATAAATATTTATATATTTCAACAAATCATAATCAAAGTTAGCAGCACAGAGAAATATAGTTCATCCAACACACCAGTTTATATTTTTAATTAAACTTCTAAAGAGGCTCAAAATACAACAGAAAGGTGTGGGCCGTGGGGGTTACCCACTTCCAGTACCCATTAGTGTCTTCTCCGATTCATTAGATTACCAATCATTGTTTCGTATTTCAGTTAAATGAGAGAGCTACCCTTCAAACCCTGAAGGAAGCATTTAAATGAAACTGAAAAATGGAAATGCTAAATATATCATATCTGTCTCATTGTTACCTTTCCCTGCAAGCATAACTCGAGCAGAGAAGGAAAGCATTTCATAGGGAGAAAAAATAACCAAATAAAGGGCAGATTTAAAACAGATCCAGATTAAACTAAAGATATTAAGTATAACAGACATTTTGTTCTTGGACATTGAGCACTTTTTTTTACCTTGGCAAGAAACACTTTCATATACACCCACTTGCCCCTATGGGTACTTGAACCCTCGACCTTCTACTTTGAAAGGCGAGGAAGTACCACTACACTACAGCCTTTGGTGGTATTGATAATAACAATTTGATTGAGTTATTGATACAAGGAAAAAGAAAAAAAATAAAGCTAGACCTAAAAAGTCCTTTTTATTTGAACTCACCTAGTCAAAAATCCTCCCATCTCTCAAAGGAGAAACAAGGTATAGCCTCCATACTTGCAACGACTCCCTCATATGCAAGTTTTCACTTTAGTCAAATTCTAAAATGCAAAGAGACATCAGTATACAACTGACTAGCTACCTTCTTTCTCCCTAGAAGTTCCTCAAAGCAAATGGGTGAGGCATATACATTCAGATTACAATTCTGTCAGAATGTTTTTTGGGTTGACACCCAGTTGCTCTAAAAATCATGATGAACAAACTGCTGCCAGTAACCTCCACTATAGCTCCATGCTCGTACCACTTTCACTTGATATAGAAGTAACTCTAGAAACATAAGTACCAGGGACAAAAGCAATGAGAAAATAAATCAAAAAAACTACTGTAGTACCTACTTTCTCACAATCATAAGACATACAGTGAAGGTAAGATAAAAGATAAAGATGGAAAAGAAAGAAAAAGAAGAAAAGAAGATAAGAATGAAGGTCACAACATGTTATAGGAATCATAAATGAGAGACCTAATATTAAATCTTCACTAAACAAGGCACTCAATGAGAAGTTAGTTAATCACTGAGATACAAGGATCATCTCAAAAATATTAAACCTTCTCCAATAAAATATATAAAAAGTATTAAGTACTGAACCCTATGTCCTAAATGAAAAAAGCAAAGCAAATCAATAAGATTAAGATGAATATTTTGACGGCATAAAACCAACATAACATCATATACACACCACATCTATTCATAGCTATTGAAGCATCTTCCCTTTTGTAGCCCATGCTTGCTAAGGTTGACAATGTCTTATCCTTGTCGGTCAAAGAAGAAATATTTTCCTGCAAGAGGAACCAATAACAAAAACCAAATTCAACATACATAAACCAGGTAGGACACACATCCCAGGAGATATGTGTGTCACATTCCACACAAGTTGCAAATGTTACTGGTCGATAGTCTAGGAAATGCACCTAGGAGAGATATATATGTGTGTGTGTGTGTGTGTGTGTGTGTGTGTATTTTGTAGAACCTAAAAAAAAATCAAGGAAGATTTTCCTAAATCTATCAAGCTAATACTTCCAAAATTGCTACAATCAATAAAACAGTTAAGTTTTTTTTCTAAAATATAAATTTGTGCACGCAGACATGGGTGTACAACTAAAAAGATTTAAAAAGAACTATCAGTGCAAAAAATGATTTTAAATCAAAATACTTCAATATAGAGAAACAGCGGTAACCACGTTTCAAAACATCTCAGTATAAACACTGTAGCAATGTGCTTTTTCATTTTCAGAATGAAGGTCACAAAAGTAGTTTTCTCTATTACAGCTCTGATTATTTCTTACAGGGTTTGACGTTCAGTTTGGAGAGGAGGGTGGGGGAGACAGGTGGGCTATTTGGTTTAAACAGTGCCTAGGATAATTATTTTAATTTCTCTGTAAAAAAAAAATCAACTTGTTCACTTTGCCGTTAAGAAGAATGTGGAGATTGGCTAAAATTATCACACATTGAAATATAGGCATTTCTTCATAGGTATACTAAAATTAATTAGTTGTGCACTGTAATACCTCTAATTTTAAAAGGATAGTCTCGGTATTTATTTATTTGTTTTAATTGTATTTTTAATCATTTAATTGATTATTTGACTAATTGCTTATGTCTTTAATTGAATTAGGTATTACTTGATTATTTGATTATGTATCTATGTATTATTTATATTTGTCTATATGTTAATTGTTTAATTAGATTATGTGCTTAAATGGTGTTTTGATTAATTGTAAATTAAATGTTTTCTTTTCTTTTTTATTTTATTTTTCTTTTATGGTTATGGTTAGTAGTAATAGGCCAACCAATTGGGTCCCATGGACTACTTGGAAAGGAGGTTGGATGTGTATGGATTATTACCCATGGATAGTTGTGTATGTATATATATAGATATATATTATATACATATATAAAAAGGAAAGTAATTTATTAATTACTTTTATGGTAACTTGGATAGTAATATTTAATCTGATGTATATGTTTTATATTTAAATAATAAAAATATACGTAGATTTGATACGTGTTATGTTTTAAGTTCCTTTATAATATTATGATAACTTAAATATTATTGGATAATCCATTAATAAATAATGAAATGTGTATAATTTATTTATTTAATAAACATATACATAAATTATATACGTAACATATTTTACTTACCTTTTTAATATATATGAAAGGGAAAGTAATTTATTAATTACTTTTATGGTAACTTGGGTAGTGATATTTAATCTGATGTATATGTTTTATATTTAAATAATAAAAATATACATAGATTTGATACGTGTTATATTTTAAGTTGCTTTATAATATTATGGTAACTTAAGTATTATTGGATAATCCATTAATTAATGGGATGTGTATAATTTATTTATTTAATAAAGATATACATAAATTATATACGTAACATATTTTACTTACCTTTTTAATATTTTAATATTAATTTTTTTTTAAGTTGACTTGGATTGGGAAAAGGGCTAGAGTTATTTTATTTAGCCTATAAATATATAGCTATAGGTTGTAAAAGGGGGTTAAAAATATTCACGTGATATATTCTAAGGAGAGAGAGAGTTAGAGAGGGAAGGATGAAAAGGAAGGAAGGAGGAAACAATCCTGTAGAGAGAAGATCAAGGAAGAAGAAAGATAACTTTCGATCGGAAAGTTTAAGGCAAGTTCTTCTTCTATCTCTTTCCCTTTGATTCGTGTTTCTATGCATGCCTAGGAAATTTCAGGATTTATTAAACACATAAAATTAAATAATTATGCATGTTTAATTGGATTAGAACACAAGTTTTATGGAATTGGTTCATATCTGTTTTTGTGTTATGAATTGATAAATGCATGATTTTGATTTGATTTCTGGTGTGAATTTTTATATGTTTACATTATGTATTTTTCATATCTGTGGAATGATGGAACGTAGAAACATGCCTAGGATTACTGAACATTAAATAGGAACTAGGTTTGGGTTTAAATAAATTTAAATAGACTCAATCATAATGATGCTTGCTATTTGAATGTTTTAAACAAACGAAAAGATTTAATCTTTTAAAATGTTTTAGCAATTAAGATTAAATGTGTAGGATGAATTGGATATGGAGAATGCTTATTTGACGGTATAATAAAATATCATCATATATAAGATTCAGTTTGTGTAGGACATATGATATAGGACGCTTAAATAAATAATAAGTCATTCCTATTTTGTGATAACTTGATATCATATTATCATAGTTATTTCTGGATTGTTTGATTTATTTCCTTAATCATTACATCAATTGTTGGATTGTGTGGTTTAATGCACCGGTATGGGACGGTGGCATTCTAGGGATGGATTAACTTATCAGTTAAGTCCTACCTATTTTATATAAGGGAATAGATTAACTAAAATGTTAAGTCCTACTTATATTTAAGTCAAATCAGCTGAACAAGTTGAATGACTTATGGAGGATTAATTTATTATATAAAGGAATGGATTAACTAAAATGTTAAGTCCTACTTATATTCAAGTCAGGTCAGCTGAACAAGTTGAATGACTTATGGAGGATTAATTTATACTGGATAGGATGGTTACTAGATTATATATATATAAGTATGGTGCCATGATATGAGCTTGAGTCTCAGGATCAGTGGTTAGGGCGCGTATATCGCTAGGGATGTGTAGCTAGATATAGTGTAGTTGGGTACCCTGGTAGGTCTAGGTACTCATGCCTACTATATGTGCGTTTTGCATGTTGCCTACTATTCAGGTTGAGACAACCCTATAGTCTAGTGAGGTTCCTTTAGTGTGTGTATATATATATATACGGACTACTAGTTACTGTTGGATTGACTAGGATGTATACGTGTATCGGATCTCTGCTTGGACTGTAGTAGAATAGAACTTGTTTGTGGGCCTGACCCACCATTATTTTTCAGGTGTTCGTCAAGAGTAGAGGTTGTTCGTGTTGAGCAGGGATCAGTCTACTTTATTCTTCCGATGCTACATAGGAGTTCCTTTATGATTCAGTTTCCTGATTTAGACAGTTATTGCTGTCATTTGTTTAGTTTAGATTTTCTAGGGGTCCACACAGTATGGATTCCCGAGTTGTATTTTGGAGGATCAGTTGTATCAGAAGAGTTTATTAATTAATGGAAATATATTCTGAGGTTTATTATTAGATTATCATTTTAGTTTCTTGTCAGCATTTTATTTATTCTTCTTTATTCTTTTGTACTCTGTGTTCGTTTATTATCAATTTGTTTTGATATCCTCGGGTATTCGGGCGTGGGCCTGGCCAACCCGCATTCGGAAATTCGGGGGTATCACATGCACAATAAGTTATTGACTAAAATTCAGGAAAAAAAAAAAAAAAAAAAGTTAGTGACACTATATATCTTGAGGGAATAAATATTCATTTCTGCAAAAGCATGTGCTATACCAGCACATCACTTACATGAAATCCATGCATTATTATCACTACTGTGTAATACGGGCAAGCAAAATTCAACACTTACATGCACTTCCATGTATAAAATTAGGAATAGGACACAAATGATGACAATATTTCAATCAATAAAATTAATGTGTCAGGGACATAAAACTCCTAGCAGCTAAATACATTATATTTTATATGCAGCTTGTAAAGATAAGATAATAACAGATGTGCGTGAGTGTCTTATGTACCCAAATAAAAAAAAAAAAAAAAAAAGGAGAGAGAGAGAGAAAGAAAAGAAAGATACAATAATAATGATGACGCTAAGTTAATTTTGCTGATACAAAAGAATATATAATACAGTGGACAAGAATCATATATATCACTCAACCAAGGATCAGAAGAAGCAAAAATGCACTTATACCTCACTTCCAGGCCAACTATCGGTATCAGAGAGATCATTCAGAAAGCTCTCATCATATTCCGTAGAGCAAATATCAGAATCGACATGTTGCTGTCGTTGAGGTCCTTGAGGAGAAACAGGATAGTTTTCAATAGCCTGCCAAAAAAGTAGTAAAATATACATACCAAAATATATAAAAATTAGAGAGCAGTAAAATACAATCCTAGCTAGGGATGATAAAACTGCCTTAAAGCCAGCCTGACCAGCACACTTGCCTGGAAAATAATGCTTAGTGAATGCCTAATAAGTTTTGAACCAATACCTCTCCACTGAGGTCAAGTGCTCTACCATTAAAGCACGAACCCCCAAGTTCTACATACTCTTCTATAAATATATATCCATATACAAGTAAAACGCTATAATACTTGTGTAAATATACATACACATGCACAAACACACAAATGTATATAAATATACATAGATTATATATATATGTATACAGACATATAGACATACGTGAATATAGACATATGTGTTTAAATATGCATAGGGGTAATATATACACAGACACACACACACATACATGGTTAGGCAAAGTATTTTTCATCAAGGGGAATGCGGGAAAGAACATGCACAACGTGAAACACAGAACTAGTTGCATAAGTGTTGCCATCTCCTACGTTACATGGACTCAAGTACATGCAACAGGTGCTGGTATGTTACGATTTAAATAAAGTTGTATCTTTATTCCCAGACAGACTTTTGTTTTCTTTTTCTCTTTTATTCTCCCATGGAGGAGGATGGCACACTTCAAAAACCAGACCTCATATTTTTCAATATGCAGATCAACTCAAAAGCCAATAAAAGAGTAGCCAGGAGAGCATCTGAAATGAGGCAGACATTACTCACCGAGTATGTGAGGAGAGATTCTAGAATTGATTCTGAATTTCCTTCTTCTGCAAGTTTATCAGTATAAGGCCATAATGAAGTTGTCAAGCTTAAAACTCATTGAATAAAGTAACAGTAAATTTACCATTTTCCTCGATTACTTTCAGAACCATCTTTTCAGAAAACCCCATCCCTATAAAATGATTAATCAAATTGGAGTTGGAAGAACCTGAAGATGAGCTCATCTGTAGATGTAAAAAAAAGTGGTCAAAAGCAAGTTCAAGGTATGTGTATCATGTGTGTGCACCATCTTGTGAGAAAATTTGATGAAAGGAACAAAATTGAAAAGAAAAAGTTCCAAACAAGAGAACCCAAATGAAAGCAAATTCCTAAATTGACTAAATGAAGCATAAAAGGGAAAGCAACACAGGAGCAAAATTAGAATAACATGAAAAACATTAGGCACGGCAAATTTATGGACAACCAATTTTGTCAATGTCCAACACTATCGATCTAAATACGTAATAAAGCATAGAAGTTCTTGAAATCTTCTGCATTATGTCTTCAGATCTCAATATTACTCTTGTTTTTAGTCCCGATCCACCATGCTGGAAAAATCTCCATCTTCAGACCTATTTGGACTTGGATTTCTTTCCTAATCTTATGATTTATCATCAACTTTTTTTCTTCATCACATCCAAGAAAGATTAATACCTTAGTAGGGGCCTAAGGAGTTAACATTTTGCTGGAAAATCGAACTCGCCAAAATAACAAAGGTTTCAAATTAAATACATGAAACAGGGGGGGGGGGGCACGTGCCCCCCCGGGCCTACATTGGATCCATCCTTGCTTGAAATAAAGCCTCGACGCTGTCCAGACCATTAGCACTCTTCCAACCACAATCCAACGTGGACATATTTCTTGACAAGTTTTTGCTCAATCAATTAGCAACTGCATCGAAGTGCAATAAAGAAGCAAGATCATCTAATAGATTGAAGTAATCTTTATTAAAGTAATCTACTATCAAATATACTTCTCTAGACAGTATTCAAATTCCTCAGCTTGCATAAGAATTGAAGATAAATCCACTATGGCTGACACAAGATTTGATGTCTACAATAACACAAGAGACCATGATAGGAGCATTTATTCAATTTACTAATGTAGAATTTGGTGATAAAACAAACAAGAGGAAGTCAGATCCTATTAGTTAGACTATAAATCTTCCAAGTACAAATTTTTATCTATTGTGTCAAAGTGACGTGAAGGTTATTACAGACACCTAAAGGAAAGCAAACCAGACAGTTAGAATTGCCAAGTTTTAAGTCTGCTAAGTGAAAATCTAAATAGAACAAACATGAACACAACTAAGCAACTAACAAATGATCCTACGTAAACATTATATTGCTTCCATCCCCTCGAATATCCTCCTAGTCGGTGTCAAACTAGTAACATCGTGTCGTAAATAATAGATAATGTTAAGTATCTGAGTCATGTGTTGGCATATTCCTATGTCAAAGTGTTATGAATCATCCGTCTACAACCATGGAAGATGACGGAGATGGAGCTCAACGAAGAACACTCAGGAATCTCTCAAGACTCCATCACATATCCAGGTTAAGATAAGTTTAGACCATAGAGACCAATCATGATCTAGGTTTGATCTCTAGAAGGCTCAAATATTGTTTTAATCCTGTTTACAAAAATTGGGGTTTTTGATTAAATGATTTTCAAAACAAGAATTTTTACAAAACAATAAACCTTGATCGAAATGGTCGAACAATCGGAAGAATATTTTGAAACCCTGAATGACTCGATCGATGTGTCGATTGATCAAAGCTTACCCAATGACTGTCAATCGAAGTCTCGATCTGTCAAACTATGTGAACGCAGTTTCATGAAAACACTCTCAAATCAAAATTCTAAAAGGACTTCTTTTTTTTTTCTTCTTCTTTTTTGATAAATAAAAATTCTACAAGGATTCGACTTACCATACTACTTATGTAACCTATATTAGCTATAAATGGAGCTTTCAATTCCTTACATATTATTGAGAGAATTTAAATTTTTAGAGAGATGAAGTTTTGAGAATCAATTTAGGGCATGGATTATATTATATGTGATTAAGATAATGAAAGGAAGGAGCTAAATTGAGAATATCTATTTAATCGGATGACTAGCGGCTAAGACTGAAATCACAAGAGAAGCAGGTTCTTGAGGAGCGCGTGTTGTTGACTAGAGGAAGAATTATCTGGAGATTTTCGGAGAAAAGTTTGTTTTCTGTGTCAAGAGGTAACTAGGAGATTTTTGAGGTAGAGAGTCTATTAGCCTAAGTTTTACCCTCTTTCACATATGGCGAATTTTGGTTTGCCTGAAGTAGGTCCCATTTTTTTTACCAGCTTTTCCTCGTAAAACATATTGTGCCTCTACTCTATTTTATTTATTGCTTTATATATTTATATGATTGCAATTAAGACACGTAATCAAACAAATTAACTGAATTTTAAACAAAAATTAACATTGATTCAAATAATTAATTATTGCAAACTAATATCAAGCCATAAGACCTATTCACCTCCTCTAGGCCTAAGTCACTGCTCGTACTCTAACGTATCAAAGTCTTGGGTAACAGTCCCTAACGCACCTTTCAGAGAAAATAAAAATTATCAGCACTTCATTCAAATCCAAATGGAATGACACGGTAGCATGCAAGCGCCCCATGCACACTCAAAGAGAATGACATGGTAGCACATGGATTGCTACGCTATAAGAAGAGTTTGTGGAATTGACAGCATGTTTATCCCAATGAGTGCCACACATCCTTTGAACAATGCAATATTCCTTTTAGTTGTTAAAATTGGTTAAAAATTTAAAATTTCACTAATTTTCTTTGGAATTATCATGCTTGGTCTGTCAAACATTGTGATCTATAAGTGCCTGATTATTTCTCTAGAATAAGGCATTTTAACCCCAACCTTCTTCCAATGCCCACACCCCATTCTGCATCATCTGATACGGCATCAACCTCAAAATCTTAAAAAGATAAGAGTTCTATACTTTAATTTCCGTGCACCCCACTAAAGCAGATTTTTTCTTATCAAAAATCGAAAAACTGATTTAAGTTGATGAATCAAAAGCAATTTTAAAAAACTGTTGACATGTATTAGATAGTAACCAGATTAATGCCAATCAATGGACAAGCATTTCAATGATTTTCCAACTAGGTTCATCTCGTTTAGCAACAGTGAAAAATTAATTATCAGGTAAAAAAAGTAATTAAAAATTTTGCCTATATATATATTGGTAAAGGAATTATCTTCTTATACAGTATCGTGCATTTAAATAGTAAGACAGTCATTAAATAGCTGTAATTTAAGTAAGGATAATCTGCTTGCCCTACTCGCAATTGAATAGTTTTGGTGCTGAAACCAAAAGAGAGATTCCACTATAGCTTCTAGTTTAAGCCGGTAACATTTACCTCTCCAGATCCTGCAATAGTTTCTCTACCAGGTACTGTCAAACTTGAACAAGCAGATATGGGTAAATTCGCAATTTCTTGTTCATCTTCAGTATCCCAGTCAAAGTTGTCACTCTCTCCGCCAGAAGGATTCCCGTCCTATGCAGATTTAACCACACCATAAAGAAAAAGAAAAGAGAATTACAATTAATACAATTAATATTATTGCCTATCTAAAACATAGAACTAAAATCATTGATGATAAAGGTCCCCCTTTTCTGATATTAACTAGTAAATCAGTGCATAACAAACATTAAAGCTTAGGGTCCTTTGGCATGCGATGAGTTTTAGGCGTTATGTTTTTGGTCAATATCAAAACAACCGTTTTATTGTAGAAGTGTTTTGGGTAGAAATCGGAACCATGTTTGGTAATGAAAATTCGTTTTGAGAAATTCGAAAATTTGCTTTAGTTCCTCTTCTACAATATCACCAATTTGGTGACATGGGGGTTTTGGCCAAAAAATCTAATATGTTATGAACTATTCCAAACCAATATCAGCCGTCCCAAACATGATATGGGCCCAAATTTGAATATCTATATCAGAAAAACAATATCATAACGCATACCAAAATAAAATAAAAGAATAGATATTAATTGTGAGTTTGTGAGAGATAAAGTATAGATATCAAAATAAAAGAATACATGCACAGAAATTTATAAGAGAAAGGAAGACATACCATTTATAAGTAACCACTAGTTTGGCCAAGCAAAGGTTCTCAAGCTGTGAAAAAAATACATGAAAATAATTTAGTGACAAACTAATGCAGCATAGACATTGATGATTTAACAGAAATAATGAAGAATCTCAATACAAACCGCACAGTGGCTGTAATCTAAGTTTATCATAACTATTCTTAGGACTTTAGGCACCATATCTCGTACAGATAAATAGTAACATGATGCCAGTTAAAAGATAAATAGTAACATGAGAAGCGTGCACAGGGGCTTTCCAGCTAAAAGATAAGGACTCAGAATTTAATGGTTTACAGGTTAGAAATCTAATGAAAGACACTAGAATAGTCAGATGTTTTCCGAATATCAGAATTCACGCTGTTTTAAACAGTGATAACCACACCCACCCCCCACCAAAAAATAAAAACATGCGGAAAGAGTGTGGGGCATCACTGTTTAAAACAGTGTGAATTTTGTATTCGGAAGCCATCTGATGTGAACCATTAATTGTTGAGTCCACCCAGATATTTTATAATTTGCTTATTACATATATTTCATCAGAATGACTTTAAGATGCAAATTTTCTTAAATGGGGACATCTAGCAGGGTATCTTTTACCTCAATTTACATGTGACATGTAACATGTTCAAGACCACGTCTAGTTACCTTCGCATCAGGTTTCAGCCTCAATTTACATAACACTTCTATCTTACATGGAACCATTGCTTGACTGAAAGTGAATGAGAATATGTCAAATCCACAGTGTTTCCAAAGTTTTGTGGAAAATGGGCAACGATAAACTAATTCAGCTGGTATAAATTGTTCTAGATATCTTCAACATACTGCTATAGGTTTATCTGATGGTGTCTTGTGTCCCATTAACATGAGAAAAGTGTCACATACTTTGAAAGAACAGGCTTATTACGCTTTCTAAAAAGAAATATAAGCGATAGATAAGCAGCAACTTGCAAAGCCAATTATCTAAGATCAGCATAAACAAACAATGGAGATTTTAGAAAACGTGATTAAAAAAAAAAAAAAAAAAAAGAAAAGTGGAATGGTTCGAAGCTGATTCTATTGGATCATTTACATCCCCTAGCCCATAATACTCAGACTGAAATTGGACTTGACATGTCAAATCAATAGCTAGCAATCAAGAACCCCCTTTCAATCAAATAAATGTTTTTTTTTTAATGTGTTTAAATATGTTGTTTATACAAACTGTTAAATACCCACGAAAGTTAGAAGTGCACAAAGGGATTACTATTCCAAATAGTATGTAATTATATTCTAAATAAACCCCTGCAATCCTAATTATGCAGTTGTGTTTCCTTAACAAATACTGGTAAGATAAATAATAAAATAAAAAATAAAAAGGATAAGGACATATAACAATTCAATTATATAGACTTATCAAAAAAAAAAAAAAACAATTCAATTACATAGATGTGACTCCCCACATTTAGAACACCACAGCACTGCTTATCTGAGTTTTGTTTGCTATCATGATTAGAGAGCACTCATCAGAACTCATGAAACATGGGATAACAACAAGTGAAAGCCTTTTTGATGTATATGAATTACAATGATTATGTACCTCCTTTATGATAGTTTACTTCACTCCATGATAGTCATTTTTTTAACAAGTATTATATGAATTACAATGATTATGTACCTCCTTTAGAATTTGTTTGGACATACATTGGCCTTGGAAACAAAGAGACTAAAGATTTTAATTGTTCAGAGCCTGGTGAAATCGTTTTCGGAGAATGGCCCCAAAGTGACTAGAAACGGCAGAATCAATTCTAGGATTACCAATCCTTGAAAACCTGTTTGAGTTTGGAGTCTATTTGTACTTCAACCCTATGGACAGGGTTCAAGGCCTCATAACTTACTTGGGAGAATAATCAATTCTAGGATTTCCCGAAAAAACATTACATTTATTATAAAAGACGTTACGCATTTCTTGAACCCAAAAACCCTAGTTTCACCGAATCAAACTCAATACAGCCTCAATTTATACCCTAACAAAAAAACTAACCCTCCCTGTGAATCGCACATCAAACAATCTTGCCAAATAAATCATACTAAAAAAATTATGAAACATGCAGAAACGGAAAAAGAACACTTCTAATCTCTTGCTAAACAATAATAATAATTTCAATCAGAACAGAAATTGCATTAACAATAATCACAATTTCAACAACTATCGAGGTGCTAATAAACGACAACATTCAACGAAATCAAATAAAATTCACCTCGTGTGCAAAGAATCACTGTGTTCTTGAAACTGTGTTCGATGAAATCGATAATGTACTTCGTTCTTATGAAAAAATCTTTCAATGTAAAGGAAAAACAGGGAGGGTTTTAAGGTATGGATGAAGAGCTACACTATAAAAAAAGGCCAAAATGGAAACCAAGAAATGCAGATAAGCGATCAAAGGAAACATGCAGTGATGCAGATACAGTATATATAGAGAGATATAGAGAGAGAAAGCAGAAGAATGGAAGAAAATTTTCTGTTACAGATGAAAGTGAAAAACCCCGTGAATTTAAGAGAGAGGGATATGAGGAATCGCACTCATAAAGAGCGCGGTGAGTGAGACGAAAGCATTTCGTGGAATCTGCGCAGCAGAGACAGTAAAAAAAAGGTACACGCCACCGTGGAAAATACCATCTTACTCGCGCCACGTCAGATAAATATATGTTACACCTACGGTTTGTAATTCTGTATGTGACACACTCTGTGAATTTTTGGCCTTTAGATTTAAAATAGAAGAGTGTGTCATGCGTGGATCTACCATGTCACTAGCTATGACGCTGCTAGAACTGGGATTGATAATATTTGTTTTTGCTTGGTGCAATGGTAAAGTTTATTAAAGGGGCGAGTATTAGACTTTTGTACTCTCATGTGTAAACTTTGTCCATTTATGTAGAGACAAAGTTCACACTGTTCTAGAGAGAAAGGAAAAGGGCAGAAAGTCTCCTTCAATATTACTACTTTTTTTGACTTTCAACGTCCGCTACTGTAATATTTGTTTGGTACAACAAATCATGAGCTCTTTATATTTAATAATTAAAATTATTTTTTAAAATTTATAAATATTAAATTATTTAATTTATTTAATATAATTAATATTAAATAATTTATTTAAAAAATCTTTTAATTCAATAATTAAAAAAAATTATAGAGATAATAGATTTTTTTTTCTTTTTTCTTTTTTTAACATTACTCAACAATATTTATTTTCTGGTGGCCAGCTGTCTCCAGAGACAAAGACCACACTGTTCTAGAGAAAAAGGCCAAAATCTAGAATACTCCTTCAACATTAAATAACTTTTTTGATTATTCAGAATTTTCTAGTGGTATCTTATTTTCTTTAAAATAATTTGATAATCAAAAGACTTTCTTGATACCTTCTTATTTACCTTAAAAAGCTAAGATAGGAAATTCAAATTTTCTCAAGACAAAAAAATAAATAAATTTTTTAAATTAAAAACTTCTTAAAACCATCACAAATATTTGCGAATAGTTCATTTAGTTTCTCTTATTTAGTTGTTAACATATACATAATTATGTATAACTACCTTATAAAATAAATAAATAAAAACATCAGTTTAAAATAATTTTAAATTATAAAATTTATTAAAATTAAGTTAGAATCCTAAGATAAACTGTCAATATAGTTCTAATTCTAACCATTTTCCCTATTGCCCAAAATTAATTTAATTAGCAAAAAATATATAATAGTGAAAATATATTATTAATGTGTCATATGAGGACGAGCGCATGACTTTTTTTCATCTACAGTATATTACCTGATGAAAAAAATATATACAGACAATTTAGAAACCTTATAAAAGTATAAGGGTTTTTTTGGCAAATAGATAATAAAGGGTTGTAAGTCGTAAATCTAAAAAAGTAAAAAAGGACTCTTTTGCATTTCTTCCAAAAAAAAATTTGTATAATTAATAAAAATTGCCTATAATTCTACTTTTTCACATTTTTGTTAATCATATATAACTTTCATAAACTGTAAACAATTTGTATACAATTTCTGCACTAAATTTAAGGTTAAATGTTTTACCCGACACAGACATCCCATCAACTTACTCATAACCCATAAATATAAGATCTGAATTTTTTTTTGAAATTTTCAATTCAGCATTTTCAAATTAATTGCATAAGATTGAATTGTAAGCATTTAGGCATGCTGTTCAAATATCCCTGTTAAATGTAATGAGAAATTGCATATTGAATTGGTGTATATATAGGTATGAAATCTTATTTATTAGTAGGTTAGGTAGTACAAAGTAAAACAAACACAGTGTACAACATATATGATCTAATAAACTTTATGAAACATCGGGCAAAAAGATAGTCCTAATTAGGTAAAAAAACCTAACCAAATAGTTTGGTCGAGCATTACTCTACCCTTGAATACAAGATAATGGGATCCATGTGGATCCTAATGCAATACATTTACCGATGCACCGAATCCACTAGAATGTTATGCGTGGCAACAGGGTGGGGGACACCAACCCCATCCTCATCCTCGTTGAGTATAAATATTCTTATCTCCATCCAAAATTATTTATAAATGGGGTAAGGACATGTTTAGTAAAGTACTTTCATAATTGTATCATAAATATTACGAAAGTAAATAACAAAACAATTTTTCAATCGCGGTAATAATTATTTTTATTTTATGTAGATAAAAAAGTTAAAAGTAATATTCAATTTATTAATTAGGCTTAATTTAGTGTGATGGAATGGGCTGAAATGGAATGACTATTTCACTTTCTTATTCTCTTTCTCTTATCTGCTGTTTCACATTAAAAGTAGAATAGTCATTCCAAAACATTTTTATAAAATGTCCATCCTATCAAATACATAGAATGACCATCTCATTCCCACTCATTCCCACTAATAATAATAATAAATCAAAGACAAAAAAATACCCTTTCGGCTTCGTTTCACGCAGATGGACCACCAATGTTTCTCTCTCTCTGCGATACTAAAAATTCTTTTGGATGTGTTTCGGACAAATCTACTAATAGTGTTGCTCTCTCACTACGACACTTTCACTCTCTCTTTGTGACGGTACATTCCCTCCTTCCCTTTCTTTCACTGCTAACTTAGATCTCTTTCTCTTCATACATGTAACGAATAATATATAAATATATATAATATGTATATATATAGCAATTTTCTCTCTCTAGATCTTTTATATGTTGTGTTCTTTGATTTGATTGCGGAGTCTATCCTCCTGTACTATTGACTCTGATCTAAAAATGAATTGACTCGCAACAAAATTATTTTAAAAAAGATTGATTTCCTGCTCGACTTGAACAATTTGCTTGTGGCCCTAGATTTAGATAGCGAGAAAGCAAAAGGGGCATTTTCTGCTGAAAGGACTGCTAATAAACAATGAAATCAAGATTTAAACTTCAATGGGGAGATGGTGGGTGTGTGCGTGGACAAACAGCAACAAAATGACTTATTAACATTTTGGACAATAAAATAATTATAATAAGAATATAGTAAAATGCAATCTGAGACATTTTGGATAATAAAATAATTATAATAAGAATATAGTAAGATGCAATCTGAGATTGATCTGATAAAATCCCAAATTTGATATCTGAGATTGGCCTGATAAAACCCCAAATTTGGTGTATATAACCCCAATTTTGGTGTATATAGTAAAATGCAATCTGAGATTGGTTTGATAAAATGCAATAAAATGATTATAATAAAATTACATCCATATATTTTAAATTTAGAGACAAAAATAGAGATTGGTCTTTGGTTGCTTGGTAAGACAATTTCATACCATGGTGTCTCAGTTTATGTCAACAAAAATATAATTGTTATAGTCCATTCCTGTCAAAATTTTTAGTCATAATTTAACTTCTATACAAGATTTTCGAAAATGAATTAAGTTTGATTGTGAATTAACACTCATTAACTTAAAATATATGTATAAAAAAGTAATTTTAAAATTTGAAATTTGAATAGAAAGTGAACTTTGCTAACAAAAAAAATCTCAGGTAGGATATACGTTGACTTCATTAGTGGTGGTTGACAGGGCAGGCCCTCACCAAGCACAAACATCTAGTTGGGATGAATAACGACCCAACGTGTTCAATTATCTTATTTCGATTTTAATTTAATTTTATAACTCACTTTATTTTTAGATACCATCAATGAGAATAAACATTAATGCCATGCAGTTTATATGCACCCAAAAGTTATTATTATTATTATTTTTTGTCGGGAATTTAATATGTGCTCAAAAGTTGCCAAAATAACAAAGTTCAATTGCTGTTTTCAATGTAAAAATACATGTTTGCATTAATCGACGAAAAACTTTAAATTTGTGGGCTATTTTATTTTGTGCTAAATTATTATCATTGCATGTCCAAGAACACAGTTCTTGAATTGAATGAAAAAACATTAAAAAAGAAACAGACCACTATTTAAAGATCGACATTATAAAAGTTTATTATATTTGTCACTCTGTAGATCCACTAAAATCATACTATTATTATATATATATATATTATAGATTGAAAGTTTTGACAAAGTCAAAAACATCCTTTACGTTGACTTTAGATGGGTCTGTAAATCTGTATACATTGTCTGTATATAAGAAAGAGGTCTGTAGCTCCATTTTAACAAAAACAGCAGCACAGAGTATAGCCAGCAATGAGATCCTCATCTCTGGCACTGCTGGCGTTGGCCTACTATTGCTGTTTCATTCTCTGGTCAGCTAATGGTGCTGTTACCATCTCTTCGATAATCAGCAAAGAGGTGTTTGATTCAATATTTCTACACAAAGATGACAACGCTTGCCCTGCTAAGGACTTCTACACCTATGATTCATTTGTTGAAGCATCCAAAAGGTTTCCTAAGTTCGGTAAAACAGGATGTTTAAGCACGCGCAAGCGTGAGATTGCTGCTTTTCTTGCTCAGATCTCCCATGAGACCACCGGCGGTTGGCCCACCGCACCCGACGGGCCGTACGCTTGGGGTTTGTGCTTTAAAGAGGAAGTTAGTCCGCAGAGTGATTATTGTGACTCCACCAACACCGAATGGCCTTGCTACCCAGGCAAAACTTACAAAGGAAGAGGACCTATTCAACTATCATGGTAACTCTCCATAAATATATATATATATATATATATATATGAATATTATATTTTCTGTAGGACAACCTTATAGTCTGAATGGAGAAATTTGGATTATATCATTCCATGTGCACTAGAGATTGTCCGAGGACATTGTGAATTTCATTATGTGGTGATCTCTTTTTTCTCTAGTGCACTTGATCGTCCAAGCTAGGGAGAGAAACTGAATTCCTTAATTGAGAGTCTATACATTACAAAATGTCTTCATATAGTCGGGGAGTATTGCAGCGTAATCCAAATTCAACTTATACCTAAGTCGATGATCCCTAATTAAACTGTTTCAAAATAAGTGCCGCCCACTAGAACTCGAGCAATTCAAATCTAGCTAACTCGAGTTTTAACATGAGCATAGCAAAATATGCTTAATTAGGTTGAGTATAGACTCATTATGTTGGTTGTCAAGGCTGATTGAGCTCGACATTAATTAGGTTAACATAGTTATAACTTCACATTAAATTAGTTCTTGAATATTTATTTATTTATTTATTAATTATTTGTCAATTGTGTTGCATGCATATGGCAGGAATTACAACTATGGTCCAGCTGGCAAGGCGTTGGGATTTGACGGACTAAAAAATCCTGAAACTGTATCAAATAACTCCATAATCGCGTTCAAAACAGCTCTTTGGTTTTGGATGACTGAGCAACAACCGAACCTTTCTTGTCACAAAGTCATGGTTGGACGTTATGTCCCCACAGAAGCTGATTTGGCAGCTAATCGTACGATAGGTTTTGGATTGGTCACTAACATTATCAACGGTGGACTCGAGTGTGGAATACCTAACGATGAACGAGTCAACGATCGGATTGGATATTTCAGGAGATATGCCAAGTTGTTTAGTGTTGATACTGGACCTAACTTAGATTGCGCATATCAAAAATCATTTTAATGCATGGTTATATATATATATTTACAGGAATGCAATATTGAAATGCCTAGACTCATCTTCTTGTGTATGTTGCTTCCACTATTAATTGTTGGCTTTTCTGAAAATTTGAATAAATGGAATGAAATGGAAGTTTGATTCAAATTTTGGTATAATAGACACAAAATACGTGCATGTTTGAAATTTTTCTTTAGTATAGAACTTTGAAGGAATTATAAAGTATGTATGGATATAATTTCAAGTGTAGAACAATCACTTTAATTTTGTGTACTGATTATAGTGTTTTTTTGGTTTCATAATTTCATATTATTACAACTAAACTAAAGAAATTGTTGATGCAAAATTCTGCGCAATTCAAAATCGGAGGCCTATCCTACAAGAATTGAGGTTTGAGCAAAGGTAACTGAAAATGATACTGGTTAATTTATGACACTTTTTGACAGAAACTAATACCAATGTAATTAGGGTCGTGATAGAGGGACCGATCATTTTGGCTGATTACTTTTGCAGAATCCACATGGCAGTCTACCTGGCAACCAACTTACAGAAAAAAAATCTCTGTCGATTTCACCGTCTCTGCAAACCATTTACCCATCTCTGCAAGGGCAACCCACAACCTCCCATCACCACACCACAATCACCTTCTGAACCAAGTCAATTTTCATCGTACAAACCTCAACCAACCAAACAAAACCAAAAACCATCACCACACATCACCACAATCAACCCAAAACCTGATCCGAAGAACTGCAAATCCATCACCACCGATTTTCGTTTTCAGTTTTTTAATTTTTACTCATCACTGTTTGAAGAAAAAAAAAAATCGATGCAGGAGTTCTGAAAAAAAAAAAAAAAAAAAAAAAAAAACAGTGAACAGCCGCCGGAATCCTCTTTGGTCGTCATCATCTGAAGCCGCAGTTCACAGCCATGATATTAGGGATATTATCACCGCCGAGCTTCTCCTTGCTCGCCGGCAGCAGTTCTTCATCACGGCGAGCCCTCCACCGTCCGAGCTCGCTGTCGCCATCTTCCCACCATCCGACCTCTCTACCATCGCTCCATCATAGCCAGCCCATCGCCACCGCCGGTCAGATCATCCTCAACTGGACGTACAACTAGACAGCCACGTAAACAGCCACGTGTTTCTACCTAACAAACTGCCAAAATCGTCGGCCCGAATATCATTTTCCATGTAATTAATTTAGTACTTCAGTGAGAGTAACACCAGTTTAATCAACTTAGTACTTTAACATAATTGTATAACAAACTTTTTGAGTTGATCCCCCCTTCTTTTATATAGGAGAGTACCTCATAATGGAGATAAGAGAAGAAATAACCGAGATTAACATCAGGTTTTTTTTTTAACGGCAAGACACACACAAACATCACTTACACATTTATTTTGCTCATTTGAGGACTTGAATTCTTGCACCATTCAATTTGAAAGGTAGAGAAAATACTAATAGGCCACAAGGTATTGGTGACGTCCCTTTTTATGTTAACCGGTCCTTATTTCATAAGAGAAATCGCCAATTATGAAAAATATTATGATGAGTAGTGATTGTTATCTTTGTCTCCTGTATCCGAATTTCTTTATCGGTTTAAAATTTTGTATCATAAATTAATTATCAAACAATAATAAAAGGAGCCTATTGAAGCTTGATTTCAAATTTTCAAGGCTACTTGGATCATAAAAATGTTATTATCTTATATGATTCTTGCTACAGCGAGATAAAGGCCGCCCTCAATTACAAGTACATTCATTCTATCACATATGTAACATTATTACTTCAAAATTGCAACACCATTATTTCATAAATGCAACTCATTATTTCGATTATACACAATGGCCAAATTATTACTTTCAAAATGCTACAGTTTACTTTGGCACATCAAGGGGTAATATACAAATTATACATTGTAAAGGGAATTTTATTAAATTAACTCATAGGAGTATTATATATCATGAACAATTTATTAAGCTTCTTAAAATTAATTAAATCATACTAATTAACTAGAGACTTTATGTCAATTCAACTGTCCATAAATGTTATTGATTAATATTTAAAGTACATCTCAGAGAATCAAATTGTTTCTGAAAGTTATTGATTAGTTGTATTTAAAGTGCGCGCATATATATATATATTAAATATGTAAAAGGTACTCTGTGTGGATCACTATCATCACTATTATCAACGTTTGAAGTTATAAATAACATAACATAACTTTAGTCAAATTACTCGTAAAAACTAAAGAGGTCTGTATATTTAAATATTTAAACATTTGAATTTATATCATGCAAGAGACTGAGTCAGATACTTGAAACAGCGAGAAAAAAAAAGAAGAAGAAAAGAGTACTTTAAAAGCAAGGGGCAATGTCGTCAATCCAGTCGAGCTCTGTTGGTGCGTTGCGCACCGCGAATACGTTAGAAATCCCTGGCCGTTTCGATTCAGAGAACCTCACTTTCTTTTTCCCTTCTATTTTTCCCGCCTATTTTATTTCTGCATCTCTTCTCAGATCACGCAACTCATCACACCCTCTCCGTTTTGAAAAGCCCTCCAACTTCACTGCGAAAAATTCATCATAAATCTCGAAAAAAACACACACACACACACACTCTCTCTCTCTACGCCTTTGTGTTTGGGAGATTCGCTTCAGTTTCTTCAGAATCGTGAAAATGGAGTTCCTCGAAGAGCAGCGCCGAAAATATTACAAGTAACTCATACAATTTATCACCATTTCTTTTTCCAATCTGAAATTGATCTATTTCTCTCTTGATTTGGAGTGTTTATGGATAATTCTACTCATTGTTGGTCTCTTTTTGATCAATTTAAATCCGATCTCTTTGTCTGTTCTAGGTTTGGTATATTTCTTATTGTGTTTTGAAAATTATCTGCAATTTAATATGTGGGCAATCGAACCTGTGTAGAATAAAAAATGAGAATAAATTATTATAATAATTCCGTGACAATTTCAGAAGAGTAGTGAAATGCATAACTGGGGACGAGATGAGCAGTTCCTGAATAATTTTACCGTTCTTTCATTTGTTTGTTTCAAACACAGACACACATACAAGCTAGTAGTAGTCTTCCTCATATTGAATTTGTTGGTTCTGAGCTGTTTCTATTTACTGTTCATTTTTTTTTGTTGATTTCTCTGTTTATTTTTCAGGATATAGCTGCTTGATTTATTGGTTTACTCTGCTTGGCTGAAGTGTGATAATGGAGATCAGCAGACAACAAAATTTGCGAGATGTAAGCCTTGTCACTTATAATCTCAAGAAAAAGACTATAGCCGGGTTTTACATTTAATTTTCTCATCTTCTTCATTGGCTTAAATTTGAATACTTATACGCATGATTTTCTTCTTTATCTAAATCAATTTTCTGGTGGATGGATTTGGGGTTGTTGTATCTAGTTATATGCCAGTTACTCCGTAAATTCTTAGATCCCTACTAGTATTGTTTTTCACATCAGATTCTGTTATCATTCTTCTTATTTTGATGGAAAATATGGTTATTCTGTAGTTATTTAAATGAACTAATAGGGGAGTGGAGATATTTAGATGTTTCATGGATAATCAAATATAAATTTCAGGATCGCGTGAGTGATGTTCGGAGTTTTGGGAGCAATTATCATCCATGTAGCCAATCCAGGAAGATTTCAATAGGAGTTATGGTAGACTCCTCAGTGGAAACAGGACCCAAAACTACAATGGAAGATTTGGCTGCTGTGGCAAACGCAGAAAAGTTAACTTTGAGACAAGGAAAATCCAGGGAAGATAGAAACAACTGGGAAGAAGTCAGAGCTGCCGTTATTGGTAGACAAACTGATGCTCCAGAGCAGGTGACTTCCCCCTGGGTTTCTACTAAAACCTCCTTCCCGGAAAAACCAAACTTGGAGGCAGTTCATTATGCAAGACCGACTTCAAAGTTACCAATCACCAGTGGCATGCACAACACATGTGATGAAGCAAAGGCAGCACCATCATCATATGCTGTTCAGTTTTTTGCAAACCAGATGTCTGTTGATGACAAGCAGAAGAAATTTAGCAGGGTCACTTACAGAGAGGAGAGAGCAAAGGATTTATCTGCAAAGAGGGTGGGGGAATTTTCATTTGCAACTGTGCAGGAAGTTTTTGTTCCAGAAAATGAAGTGGTAGAGGGTAAAACAAGCAGAACAGAAAACAGAAGCAATGAATCTTTGAGAATGAAGCTTTGGGACATTTTGGGAACTGTTTCTTCACCAAAGAAGCAGTTCTCTAACTCTCAGTCTCCTGAGGTGGGCGCAATAAACCCAGAGCAGAATATAGATCAAACAAGTAATCCTGTTGTCAAGCCTGGACAGAACTCGGACACAATAGAAAGTGATTCTGAAAATCCTGAGAATACTACCATGAGACCTGTGACTCGTTCTTTGTCCCAGAAGAGATCTTCATCTAAAGTGCAACTGAACAAAGCTAAAAATGTGCCACCCTCTACTTATAAACAAACACGCCTGGAGAAGAATGACTTCTCTTTTGAATCTGGAAGGTCGTTTGTTGATACCCATGGTGTTTCTTCAATGTCTCAGAGAAAAAAGAGTAGGAGAAAGGGTTTTAGTATTGAGCCACGTAACATTTTCTTTCATCAAAAGGATAATGCAGATGACATTCAGCAAGCAAGCGATAGGAGTAAAGGAACAAAATCTGCTGAGAAAACATCTTCACTTGGAAATAAAGCAGGAGGTGTGCAAATTTGTGCTCCTAAGAAAGACAGTGTGTTTGTTGAGCCAAAGCATGGAATCCAAACGACTGATGCCCCTAAATCACCAATGGTGAATATGACTGATAACCTAGGTGATATCAACAGTCCAATACTTTCAGGACACCAGGACCAGCAAGAAGACTTCACCTACCCATCTTTAAAGAACATTGTGGACCGACAATCAGATTTCAAGACCACAACATTTGAAATGAGAGCTCCAACTAAAACTTCTTCACCTGGCTCACTGCCAAAAACCAACCAGAGGGAACTGGATGATTGCAGTCCTGCAGAGAGGGTATTTAATATGGAAGGCATTCGTAGCTTCAATAGTTTCCTGGCTTCAAAACCAGACTACCATGAAATAAACGTGGAGACGGGATCATCTGTATCCTTCATGTTATGCAGCTGCTAATATTTATAATTTTGGTTATGAGTATTGGTTCCTACCTATTTCGAGTTTGTATTTTGTGTCTCCTTATTGAACTATATAGGAAGATGCAGGGGAACTTGAAAATTCTCCTGTCATGAAACCAGTGCCTACTTTGGGAGAAAAAGATGCAGATAACATGTTGTTCAAATCACTATCTGAAGAGAGGGATTCCGGAAGCCCTGAAGAAGGTTCACCTATCGATGAAGGTTATAACCACATAGAAGAAAATGATGCAGAAAACATGCTGTCTAAGTCATCATTTGAAGAGAGGGATTCTGAGAGCCATGAAGAAGGTTCACCAGTTAATGAAGGTTATAACTTACAACCCTCAGGTGTTCGCATGTGCATTATATGTTCCTCTATTATTGTTAAATAATTCACTTTAAATATGTAATAAATGTGCAAAAGAACACATCCACTTACCAAATACAATCCTCAACTTGATTGAGAGAACTGATTTTAAGTAGAAACTTACTGATATTTTAATAATTTCTATGCCCTATTTATACCAAAAGAAGGAAAAAACGAATCAAATTGCATTTTCGGAATTAGAGATAACAAATAATTGGATTGTTCCTACTTTCATTTTATAAATGCTGTATCATTTTATTCCTGAGATGCATTAAATAGAGTAATTTAAAAATGTGCTCATAGAGGGTAAGAATGAATTTTCTTCTTTTGGGGGGGGGGGGGGGGTGTTGAGTCAGACCAATTTTTTAACTTTTGGTTGTCGACCCATCAAACAAGATTAATTACCGGTGTCTTTCCTGCTTACGCTTTAATCAATTTTTTGGGTGGGATGCTTGCATACAGTTATGTAAATGCCTTGAATTGAATATGAACCTTTCATATGAACTTTAGTTTGTATCCTGGGGTGATTATGTAATTGGAAAAATGGAGTAGCTAATATTATCTGGGAGTATATGATCCCTGTTAGAAATTGCATAATATATCACCAAATATAGATGTTACAAGTAAACAATATCTTACATAGCATTAATTAATAAAAGATGGGGAGCTAAAAAGGTCAATCAATATCACAAAAGAACCTAAAGCCATTTAAATGTATGATATTGGTACCCTGTTGAGGCAACTCATAAAATGAATTTATAATAAAAAAGGTTCTAGTTGCAATACTTGATGTTGGTCGCCTGTCATTAAGTGCATCAGGGGATACCTTGTAAACTATGTTCCTGAACAATCATAACTATTGGCTGCACTGAATCTTCTGAGTTGTGTAAGAGTGTAATGTTCATATTATTCAGTTTCTTTTGCCTCTGATCATACTTTTGGTATACTTAAGCTTACATGTAGTATTTGTATACTTTTTGTCTACAATCCATCCATTAATTGTCAGACTGTCTTGATTGATAAGCTTCAACCGTGCTGGTGATCATGACCATATGTTTCTTCTTATTTGTGGTTTCTCTTGCATTTTCTTTTTTCTTTTTCCAAGTAAAGGCAATTTATTGACTTTATTTACTGAACATGTTTAGGTTGCTGGCAAACAGAAATATTGCTTCCAGAATTTGCTACTGCTGAGAAACCAAAGTTCCTTTTTCATCGAAGCAAAAGGCTCCGCAGCGAAGAATGCACTAAACCTAATGACTTTACTCCAACCTTACTCTCTCCAAAAGGTACACCTTCATTAAGATCAACATGTTCTGCTCCCTCGGCACAATTTTCTTCTCTATGGTTTCTGTTTGTTCTTCCTTTTCACTATTTCTTATTAATATTTTTTTATATTTTTTTTGGCTTTTATGTTGTTATTTGTATTTTCTTCTTTGGCGGTACAAAATGGACAGGTGACAAAAGCAATGGTTTTAAGGGACTTTCAGAACAGAACCAAGAGGATGGATTGGCTAGGTATATCTTTCTTTGCTGAATAAAACAATTAAAAATTTCATCAAATATAAACTATTTTCTATCTCAAAATGACACTAGAAATGACACTTTCTTTTGTTTTTTCTTTCACTTGACAATGTCTCAGTGCCATTGGTCTATTTGCTATGGCTTTAGAAAGAGTTAAATTGAAAATGAAGTCAGTGACAAGTAAGAAATCTGCTGAAATTTTGATGTCTGTTGCTGAGGGAATACATTCGCAGCTTCACAATGCTGAGTCTCAGATTCAAACAGATCTGTACGTATTTTAGAATGACAGTTCTACCAGTTTAGGGTATCGGTTTCTGAAGTGTGTGTGTGATGTTTCAGGGGAAAGCTATCAAGTCTCTGTAAATCAAAAAGAAAACGTCTAGACACTAGATTCCAAGGTAATGGAATTTCATAATTTGATTACTTTGATTGACCATATTATAGCTGATCATTGAATTGATCACATAACCACTGCAACTGGTCCTATATATTCTGTTTCTCAGCATTAGTGATGCCTATATGAAACCAAGTTAAACGAGAACCTCTATTCTTGAAATTTTGATTTTCGGTTTTAAGACCTCAATAAACAGTAGACGTTCGAGTTGCAAGTAAAACGTGAGGTCTATTTTGGTATAAATCATCATAACAAATTATTTGTTGTCCTTTCACTTAAGAATATCCTATACCAGGCAAACTCTTAGTTTTAATTAGGAATTTAGGATATAACTCTTCTTATCTTGAAGCTTGTGAGCTTCTTGTTTCTCTTGTGAGAGGACCATGATTTATTGTGACAGGAAACACCAAACTGCTTCAGAATTTTTTATACACAGAAGTTAATTCGTTGTTGAATTGAAAAAAAGAAAAGAAAAGGAAACAACTTAGCTGCAAATTTTGCCATAAGAAAGTTCTGAAAATTATGAGGCAATGAACAGCAAAGTTAGTATCACATGTAAAAGCAAAAATATATGGTGATACTGTATTATGAAAATATATGTAACAATTCTCTACATAAGTTCTTGTTCAGCCCTTTGAATTAGTTTTTCCAGTAATCATGTTGATTTTTTGCATCATTACCAAGATGTGGCCATTTAGTAGTGAGTCCTCAGTACGAGTGTCTGGTTTTCATTTATAGTTCTTGGATTCCCAAATGCTGGGCTTTAACCTTACATGCAATATGCTCCAAGTATTATAGCGAAATTTCCTCTTTATGTATGAGGATGTCATGGAATGCATGTGATTTTAGCATATCCTCTTAGGTCATTAACTTTGTAACAGCTATAAAGCCTTGAGATTTGTCAGGCCACTACAGAATGAGTGCATGCATTCAGTTCATGTCTGTGTATATATATTTCCCCCCTCTTACGGCTTAAATGGGTAAAATTTTCATGCAGAGCAACAAGAACAACTGAGGATCATAAACGAAAAGTTCAAAGAAGAGGTTAGTCAGCATATCCAGGATTGCAGGAGCGCAGTTGAAGGGGTGGAAGCACAAAGGATGGAATTTAAAGGAACTGTGGACAAGCAAAGTACGACGATAAGTTCATCTTGAATGGATATTGATTGACTGTGTTCATGCTTTGTTTTAGGTAGTTGAGGTGTTACTTATATGTTAAATTGTGGTTTTATTAGACATATCAACTTCTCATTCCAACAACACTATTGTATGCAAGTGGGTCAGTACTGTTGTCTTCTGTCTGCGCGAATGGTATATATCATAGTGCAAGACACTGTAGTTGCAATTATACTATTGGATGCACTTAATTAGTTAGGCCTTGATATAAAGGTGGTAGATGGGCATGCTAATACACTCTCATTTTCTGTTGTCAGCACATAAACATGAATGGCCTGTAGTGATCAGACTGCAGTTAGAAGCTTTCAAAAGTGTATATGTTTCAATACTAAGCAGAAATGACTTCTTTAAAATACTTACAAAATTTTGTTTTTTCCAGAAAAGAAAAAAGAAAAGAAGTTACAAAGATGTAGCAGATACATTTAGATGCTTGAGAAACACAATAGATTGTTTACAATTCCTTGTTGCACACAATAAAGACATTCATTTTAGATGCTTACGAAACACAATAGAAGAGGCATGCGTCATCTCATTTGTAGTAGCGTATTTATAAACAAGTCCAATCATCTATATTTGGTGGTTACTGTAACCTCAAGGCACTGAAAAGTCATTTAAGGCTTGTTTCAAGGTTCACATCTAGGAGAGGTGGCCTTAAAGTATTTTAGGGCTTTCAAAGTTTGGCAACCATCCTTTAGGTGCATGTGTCAGGAGCCAAGGAATTGTACGTTTTATGTCTCATCAGATGAGGCGCATGTTTCATGGGTCTTATCTTATATAACCTTTCCCCCCTTAATTTTATAAATGACGAATTATATCTCTTCTGTCATTTGATTGAAAATGATAATTATTTGATATAGGGAGAGGTGCATGCATATCTGTTATATTTAACCATGCTTCTTAAATTCTTAATTATACATTTTCTGCTTATTTTAGCTATTTCAACTTATAATCACTCCAATATGCTTTTAAATTGTGTAAGAAGTGATTTCTTTTATTCATTACTCTCTCTATTTACTACTTGTTAAATTGTCTTAATTGAAATTATCTGGAAGTCCAAGCCCTGTCTTATGGGAAATCACACTTTGAGTAACACTTGTCAGTGTTAGAAGCATTGAGTAATATGATATTTTTGCTTGTTATTTTCTACTGGAGGCTATAAATATAAATATCAACTGGTTGGAGTGTTTGTATTGGTGCAATGACGTCATGCAGCAGAAATCATGGAGTTGTATCCAACCAGGCAGCCAAACTGATATTACTGACTTCCTGTGTCTACCATGAGAGGCTGCTATGGAAAACTTATTTTTACTGTACAACTGGTAGGGTACACAAATGCAATACTTATTCTAATACGTTGTTATTGATACGTTTAACTGTCAGAATCATCACACCTGAAGCTTCTCTTGCAAGCAGAAGAAGCAATTGAGACGCAACTGAATGATGCTCAGAGAAGAGTCATGGCTGTCCACAAGGCAAGTTCTCATATCTTACAATCTGAACAGTGTGTTTCTTGCCAAATGGTTGTCCACTTGTTCCAGGGTCTTAGTTATATTATTATCATGCTGTGTTATTATATATTTTGGAGACCAGTAAATTTTGGGGAGCACAATCTGTATATTGGAAGTTAAAATTCTTCCATAATCTGTTAATCTGATTTGATTACCAGAGGATTTAAAGAGAGAATGAATAGAAAAGAGGAGGAGAAGAGAACATTTTGGGGGCCCTTGGCCTCCATGTAGGTCTGCCCCTGCTTATAGTTATAGTTAGAGTAAGATTCCCCACGTGACCTCACTAGTGTTTTAATTATGTTAAAAGGACTTTTGGTTCACAACCCAGACAAACAAAAGCATATGGACCTTGACCAGCGAGTCACATCAGTTATAAAAGGAATAATAATACAGGGAAAAATCCTTTATTCTCCTAATGTTGATGAGAGTTTGTTCATGTAGTGATATCAGACATGGAATCTCCATTCAGGGGGTTTCAGTTGTTTTCTTCTCCTGTCTCTCTCCATTTATTGTTTCTTCAGTCTTTGCTCCATTATGAAATACAGTACTATTTTTTGAATTGATCATATTCCAGAGTTTGACCATGTAAATATCTTTAGCCCTACCTAGATCTCATGCAAATGCCACCTATTTAATGGTGGATCCTAATCCTTACTCTGCCACGAAATAATCTTTTTCAGTAACAATATTACGGCAATTGATAATCTAAAACATATCCAGCCTTAGAGTCCCTGTTGTTTTACCTATTGAATGTCCGTGAGAAGCTGAGAATAATGTTGCAGCTTGGCTCAGCTGTCTGAAATTTTTGATCAACTGTTATAAAATCCCATAATAGTCTAACATGCCAGTTGCATTTACCTTTTGAGATAATTTGTGAATGTAGTAGAGGATGCTATGCATGTTAACTGGTCTTATGCATTGCAGTTGGCAAGAGAAAAGATGCTTCAATTGAAATATGTAATAGCCGAGTGCTTAAAAGAGGGTATTCTCAGTTGACATGATTTCCGCTGTTATCTATCAACAAGACGAAGACGCATGGCCCCAAATATGATACAAGAGTTTTGAAGATGTTATCAATGTTGAGAAGTTAAGTTGTAATGTAAGTCTTCTCATCCATCTTACTGGTGATGAAATGAGACTATGGTATTTTCCTGGTTTGGAACTCATTCAACTCTTCCCAAATTTATTTCTTAGTTGTATGGACAACAAAATGGTCTCTAAATGGCTTTCGTGCTTTTGGTCCTTGTAGCTTAATGTAATGAATTATAACATGACACTGTGAATTAGATTTACAGTACAAAAGGATATAATTTTTCCGAAGTACACCAACACCCAATTGGGGGATGTATGTGAAAATGCTAAATAGATATACTCGTTGTATCTGGTTTCATCTCTTCATTTAGGCAATATGTGCAAATTTGTTATTCGGAATTCTCTCCATTCTGTGTTTTACTGTTGGAACTTTGTGGTTGTTGCGCCAACTCATGTGAATTGTTTTCACCTGAATTTGTTTGCCTGTTCCTCTTTAAAATTATTGAGGGAGAAAAAAATAAAGTTGCTGAAATAATTCACTTTCAATTATTAGTTGGTTTAGCCAATTCTCACCAACTGGAAAGCTGATACTGTATTTCACTTTCAATTATTAGTTGGTTTAGCCAATTCTCACCAACTGGTAAGCTGATACTGTGTACATCAAATGACAAAGTTACTAGTGAATAAAATATGGTAGGTGCAAAAGGTAAGGTGGATCATTGTAAGAAAGAAAAGATATTGTGGAAGTGCAAAGTTTGTAATTATTTTATCATTGTACATTTATATATATATATATTGGTCGGTAAGTTTATGTACTATCATTGAAGAAAGAAATGATAAAAAAAAAAAAAAAAACAGAAATAATTATTTCTCCTTACGTCGGCCCTTTTGAGAGGAAAAGATTAGATAGACGTTGACATAGATTAAAATATATATATCCTAAAAAGTAAAAATGTTGAATAATTGATGATTGTGAAAGGAACGGTTCACATGGCACTCTCATCTTTCTCCAAATATTGGCCTTGAGTCGGTGTAGGGTCCTCCATTAGTACAAATGGTGGGGCTATGTATCATCTTGAATGTGTGGGGAATATATCTCGGAGGCCCAGCACGTGGCAGTGTTGAAATGCGCAGACAAGGGCACGTGAAGTAAGCGTGATCACGTGAAGCACACGCTTGTCTCTCCTCTTCGTCTGCTCCCGTGTAGGGACTCCAACGGGAGGGAAGCAATTTTGTGGTCCCACTGAATTAGTCCGTCCCTCAATCAAAACAAGTTAGCGGAAAGGGACTTGTCACTAACGATGAAGAAGAGAAATTACCAAATTCCACACTAAACTTAGCTGAGGTTCCCACACAGTCAACGTGTCCTCTTTGCATTACTACGTTTTGGATTGATTAGTGAGCCCCCAACGGGAGAGAGTGGTGTCTTAGTTGTCCTTGTCACATGGGAAAGAAGACGGTGATGGTCATGTCACGCCTCTATCATATCCTTAATCACATTGTCCCCCATTTTCAATTAATTCGTACAAATTTCTCTCCCCTCTCTCTCTCTCTCTCTCTCTCTCTATATATATATATATATATATATATATATATATACACGCGCGCGCATAATACACACATATATTTTCATAAAGTATCTTTCATGAAACAGGACTCTAAAACGTGTCCTTCGTTTTCACCTGCCACTTTGTTATGTACAAATACTGCCTATACATACAGGTTTTATTAACGGCTTGTGCGGTTGCAACTTGTTCGGGTTGGGCCCTCCTTTCCAGCACCAAAGCATTACTACATCCTTCTTCATGCACGCACGCAGTTACTGGTTACCACCGAATATTTCTGTACGCATATATATACATAATATTGTTGTAATCATTTTAGTATAATTTTCCACCTTCATCCACTAATTTCGCTTAATCATGTTGAAAAATCTGATGAAAGATTGTCAAACAAAGAATAATAAAATAATTTTGAATTCACAAAAAAACAACTTAGCCAAAAATATGATTTTGGAATCTTAAATGACGTAATTTCATTCAAAAACGTCCTCCTAATAGTATTTGACATTTTGACCTAGAAAAAAAAATAATAATTAACTTTCTGCTATCTGACCGTAGAAACAATTCTATAGCCATTGACAACCTGTTCCATGTCAAATTGTTTTTATTAAAATTTGAGTCGTAGGGAATTCGAGCTCCATTATACCTCACACTCAATGTGATTTTCTTTGGAATGCAGTGTGTGAATGATCAATAAGTCTTGCTTTTAAAATTCTTTTTTATTTAACTTATAAATCACTCAAATTTCCGGGACATGTGTGTTTTTATATATGGTATTTCTTTCGGATCATTTAGTATATATTCTAAAAACAGAAACCTTACCCTCCTGTTCTCTCTCTTGGTGGGTATTTGTCAAGTCTATCTCACAAGTCTGGATTGAGGTGATATATATTCCAGCCTTCCATTTTCTTATTCTTAAATAAGATAGTTATTGAGCTTGTTATTAGCTGCCTTGTTAGATACAATGATATGAAAAAAAAAATTAAAAATAAAGCACGTACATTGTCCCAAAAAAATAATAATTAATTAATTAATTATAAAATCACTTTGTTGTATTTTGAAAGTGTCCTAACATGCTCTTGAGGTTCAATTGTGTCTCAATCATGATTAACAAAAATAAAATAAAATACTCAATTTTTATGACACTTGTATCCATACGTTGGAGCCGTGTTCAACACCGCCACGACACACTGCATACTTTTTACCTACCGTGTAAGGCTTCCAATATGACATTCTATAAAGGAATGTGGTCTCTCTTTGGTGGTATAAAGAAACTTCCGTAGTAGTTTGCCTAATTGTTAAAAACCTGACTTGGTAACCTTTTTATATTCTTCTACCCCTTGATACTTCACTGTGTAGCCTTGGTCTGAGGTAATAGGAAAACTTGCATCAACACAACCACAGATTACAGATCGGTTTGGCCAAAGCCAGTTTTCACGTAAGTTTCTTCTTTAACATCCTTCAAAGTTTTCTAGTTTGAGAGTATATATATATCCTCTTCATTCTTTGACATGTTTGAATGTTTGATCCATCTATATATGCATACATATATATTTTGTAGTGCAGGTCTGATCATATATATAATTTCATGGAATTGGTACTAGAAAATGGTCAGATTCTAATTCGAGGCCCATCCAACAGAAATCAATGGAGGGCCTCGTCCGCTGCTGATTCGTGTTCATTTAGTTCCAAGGTTGAGAAGAAAATTGGAGAGGACAGCAACAATATCACAAAGATTGCAAGAGCTGGGACTCTTGATCAAAGCAAATCAAGCTCTTACTATGATAAGATGGATTTTTTTCTGAATCTTGGGCATGATTGTCAGAATTTCGATGGCCAACCTGAATTGCGTGAGGCCAATCCAAATGCTCCCTCGGAACACCATGGCAATGCTGCCACCATCAACACGGTGTCGAAGAATTCAACTAGTCAAAACCTAGACGTCTTTGGGTGTGGTTTTCCTAACTCAAAGATTCAGGAGCCGGACTCAGTACACTACAAGAAAATAGGGTTGATGAACTTCTCCAATTTCTTAAGACCAACGTGTCTCGCGAAAGCAGCTAACATTCAGAGCACTGATGGAGCTGTGAAGTTCAGTAGTAGTAGTGGCAAGATGTCTGCTAAAGATTTTAGCAACCCTTTTGGTGGATATCCAACAGTGATCAATTCTGCTAGTGGCTCAGAAAATGTTATAGGTCTTAAAAACCAACAAGCACAGATGCAAGCCGAGATGGGTTTTAGGCCGTTGGTTCCTGAGACCACAAAGGAGCCACTCTCTCATCACCAGCAATCTCAACCTCTATGTCGAGAAGATGCAATTAGGGATAATAGATCCCATAACCAAGTTCCTAGTAAATCTGTGAGCTTTGCAGCAAGTGTGGTGAAGGGAAATCCTAATACTACTGCAAGATCTATGGATCCTTTGGCTGCATCATCCTCTGTATGCTCACGCGGAGTTTCAAATGATCAAACTTGTACCGCAAAGAGGAAAGATGAAGAAACTGAGGACTCAGCATATTATAGTGATGTAAGTGAAAGCATCAAATATATATACCTCCACAAATTCAATGTTTCTTCGTTTCTTAGACAAAGTCTTTCTTGCATGTTTTCTTAACAAGTTTTGACATTTGTGCAGGATATTGAAGAAGAACCTGATGGTGTGAAGAAGAAACCTGTGGCTGCTCGAGGAAGTAGTTCAGGTACTAAGAGAAACCGAAGTGCAGAAATGCATAATTTATCTGAAAGGGTGAGTAAACCAAATCAAACCCTCCCTCTCCCACATTTTACCACATAAAAGTAGCCTGACAAAAAATGTTACGGAAATAGGGTATGACGACTTATCTAATTTCTTGGTCTATATTTGCAAACAGAGGCGAAGAAATAAGATCAGCAAGAAGATGCATGCGTTACAAGAACTTATACCCAATTGCAGTAAGGTTGGCCTTTTGCGTTTAATACTTATTTCAAATTTACTTCATCAATTTTCTATCATCAGAAACATTAATTTGACAGTTCGTTGTATATATACTTGATAATGTTACTCACTTTCTCCTTTCAAAATTTTTAGGTAGACAAAGTTTCTATACTTGATGAGGCTATTGAGTATCTGAAGACCCTTCAACTTCAAGTACAGGTATAATTTGTTTGAATTAAGCATTTGATTACACCAAGTCCCGTGGCCTAGTGTTATCGAGTTCAAGTCAGTATTGAGGGATGGAGTTGTTATATTAGTGTTGGTATCTTCATGCAGATTATGTCAATGAGATGGCGCTTTTACATGCCGCCAGTGATGTTACCTCCAGGAATGCAACAAATGCATGCACCACATTTGACTCAATACTCTCCCATGGGCATTGGGATGGGTTTGGGAATGGGGTTTGGTTCATCTATTTCAGGAGCCAATGCTCTGCCTGGGTTCCAAGGAATGCAGTTTCAGAGGCTAGGAGTACTCCCTGGTCAAGTGCTACCCATGCCAGTGTTGCGTGAGCCCTTTAATACCATGCCCGGAAGGTCTTGTACACAATAACTACCTCATGTTAACCTACTGGAATTGAACATAAGGATTCCGCTCACCCGTTAGGTTTAAAGGATTCATGAAATGATGTCAAATGCTCATACAACTGAACTTTAAGTCAGATTTGTGTGCTCATCACTGAGACATATATGCCTGTCTTCCCCTATAAGGAAAAAGATGGCGCGCGCGTTGAACAAAAGGCAGTAAAGCTTCAAAGTCTTTTATCTTTAGTCATCAGACAGTCCCATTTGGCTTGTGTTGATCAATCTCAACAAAAACAAGGTTTATCAACTCTCCTTGCCTCAAATTGCTCCAACTCATAGTCCATTTGCAACAGAGTTAATTTATCGATCCAAGAGAGGACGTGATTAGTGATCACTTATCAAGATGATCATGCTTACTCAGGTTTCCCATTAACCCTGCACTAAATTTCATCACGATGAAAAGGGTAATGCAACTACTGGCAGCAGAATATTGTTAGTGAAGTTTTGGATGCAGATTTTCTTGCCAAATGGGAACTCTTTTGGAAAATATGTATCCAATTTCATGAAGACCTGCAAACACCGTACGAGAGAGTTCCATGTAAATGAAGACAGCTTCCTTTTGCTTGTAAGCATTTCTGTGAATTACTGCATTATTTTACAGCCAAGAATGTAACTTTTTCTAGGCTTCAGTGACGGATAAAGCAGATTTTGGGAATTATGGACCACAAGGTCCACACATGTGGTCCAAATTTTAAATAATCTCAACTTGTCAGATGTTTGTGCGTTGTCATAAAAAAATCTTCAACGATCATTGTGGGGTCCCGGTTCCTGCTCTGTTTTTTTTTGGATGAAATCCTTCAATCCATTAAAATTTCATCTAGGCTTGAAAATTTTCTTCTATTAAATTTGTTCAAGATTTTGATCTCAGATGAATCAATAGATGTTGCAAAAGTACCATCAACTTAGAATCCTAAGAAATTGTTCCCCCAGCACCACCAAAAGAAAAACAAATGAAAAAAAGAAAGATGAAGTGGAATAGGGAAGGTGGGGATGTCAACTTATTAATTTTTGACTATTTAAAATATTATACACTTTTTGTAAACTATATATATATATATATATATATTGAAAGGTAGATTTGTACATGATGTTGCTCCAACAAGATCATGTGAATTCTACTCCAAGCATCCTGCAAATCAACTATTGATAAATACTTCTTGGACAACCATGGTCCCCTGGAGTTCAATAAATTCCTTCTGAATGATCTATTGCCATCAATGTCAAAGTTATTAGTTCACTTAATTCTATAGCTCCTCACCGTCACCCACAAGATCATTGGACAAGAAACTAGGGACCAGCTTATACCCTTCATTCGTCATCTCCAACAATAAACTTCCTAGTGTCTCTTGGATCTTATTGAATTCTGGATGCTTTGTGCCTCTGGCATGGAAGATATGAATACAACCTCCTAAATCAATCCAGCTTTTTCCAGGTTTCTTTATCAAACCCTTCTCTTTTATCATAGTTCTAAGCTTCGAGACATCTTCCCATCTGTCAGTGGATGCATATATATTCGCTAAAAGAACATGATAGCCTGAATCTTTTGAATTCTTCTTGAAAATTTGCCTTCCAACAAAGTCAGCAAGCTCCACCTTGTTATGAACTCTGCAAGCACCGAGTAAGCTTCCCAAAACATTAATGTCCGGCTCAACCGGCATCCCTCTGATAAAATTGCATGCATCCCCAAGATGGCCTGCTCTACCAAGAAGGTCCACCATGCATGAATAGTGTTCCATATCTGGCATCATATCATAATCATCTATCATGGAATTGTAGAAAAACCAACCTCTATCAATTAGACCAGCATGACTACAAGCAGACAGTAGTCCTATAAAGGTAACTCTGTTAGGCCTAACTTTTGCGGCCTTCATTTGATCAAAGAATGATAAAGCCCGCTCTCCCTGTCCGTGGATCCCATGAGCAGATATAATTGTATTATATGTCACAACATTCTTTACTGTCATCATATTAAATACCTTCACTCCAAGCTCTAGGCAACCATTTTTACAGTACATATCTATTAGAGAATTTCCAACAGAAACAACCATTCCCAAACCGCTTCTAGTTGCATAACCATGAATCTCCTTTCCATGTTTGAGACTCCCCACCTCAGTACAAATTGGAAGGATGCTCACCAATGTTATAGAGTTCGGTTCAAGTTTAGATTCCCAGATTCTTCTAAAGATCCTAAAAGATAAATCAAAATTCTCACTGAAAGCATGCCCTGCAATCATTGAATTCCATATTGTGATGTCCCTGTCAGACATGATTTCAAAAATGTGTTGTGCTTCTCTTGTGGAATGACAGTTGACATACATATCAACTAATGCACTTGCTACAACAATATCAGATTCAAACCCTTGTTTTAGGATATAGTTGTGCATCTCCTTTCCTTGTTTCAACATTCTGAGCTTGGCAAATCCAGGAAGAACACTTGCCGCGGAGACTGCATTAGTTTTTACACCATTGCTCTTCATTTCCAGATACAACTCTACACTCTCCCGGTATTGGCTATTTTGCGAGTAACCAGCAATCAAGGTACTCCAAGAGACTGCATCCTTATACTGCATGCTGCAAAACACACAGTAAGCTTCACGGGTTTTCCCACATTTACAGTACATATCCATTAAAGCATTCGAAACAAACAAATCGCTATCAAAGCCACTCCTAACAGCACAGCCTTGCAATCCCATTCCCACTTTCCTAGCCTCCAATCTACCACATGCCGGAAGAAGACCAGAAACAATCAGCGAATCAGGCCGTATTCCTTCCAATTTCATCCTTCTGAAGAAACAAAAAGCTCCAATCCAATCCCCATTCTGCACAGTTCCGCATATCATCGCGGTCCAGGAAGCTAAATCTTTCCTGGGCATTTCTTCAAACACCATCCGCGCTTCAACCAAGCTGCCACATTTGGCAAACATATCTACCATGGCACATTCAACATAGATATTTGGTTTTATACCGCGAGAAGTTTCATTGAATCGGATCAATTCTAGAACCCTTTTCCCTTCTTCAAGTGCACATATCCCAGAACAAGCCTTTAGAATTAATGGGTAGGTAAAATTATCAGGGACTATGCCTTGTGTGAGCATCAAGTGATAGAACTCGATTGCTTCAGAAAACTGAGCAACCTGCACAAAACCCCTGAGAATCGCATTCCAAGCAATGTTGTTCTTCTGGGGAAGTTTATGGAAGACAAGCAAAGCTTCTTCAAAACTGCCCAATTCGACATAGACGTTGACGAGCTGTGAACCCAAGACCCTGTTGGTGGTGAAGAAACCACCAACAAGGAGGAGAGAGTGTAACCTTCTGGCTTCGGAGAGATTGGGTGGGCACTTTAGGAGAGAGAAGAGGTTGCTGTAAGAGAGATGGCAATGTTGGGTGTCAGTATTGGTGAAATGGATTGTTTGGTTGGTTTGATCTGTGGATGTGTGAGGTGGGATTGAGAGGAGAGTGGTTGTTGATGAAGTGGTTCTGTTGAAGAGCAACAATGGCGGGATTATCAGTGGCTGTTTGGCTACTATGGGTTGTATGGAGAGTGTAGCCTTGGATAGCATGTTCTGATGTCTGAAGTTTACATTATTTAAACCCCAAAGGCCATTTTTAATCCTATTTGGTTAGATTAAAAGGCAAACAGTTTAACTAGGAAGCCCTTCATAAGCCTGCCAATCTTAACAGATCTCTCTTAAGGTTGAATTCTGAATTCGGATTCCCTCTTGCACACTTGACGGTGGGGGCAAAGATCACTCCACATGAGACGGGATCCACTCTACCTATAAGTGATTTCTACCCGGGCATAAAATAAAATATTAATTCTTAAATTCCATCAGTTTATTCCCCTCGTATTAGTGACAAAGCTGGCTTAGATACAATAAATTGAAAGATATCGCCATGGTCGATGGTCTGATTAACATTTCTCAATTATATTTCTGTCTTTATTTTCTAATGCACTTAAATTGGTGAGACTTTGTTTTGTATTATCAATTGAAGTACAACTTTTCCAACTTTCTCCATGAATCAAATGTAGGGGTGCCTAAATATTGTCAACAAAAAAAAAAAAATACCCCGCGCGTGTATATATATATATATATTTGTGGGGTCCATAATAGTTTAAGTCATCCATAATGACATTTTTGGCGTGGGAAGGAAGATCAATCTTTTTTAGCTTACAATGAAAGCTTTATTATGGTTTGTTTAGGAAGCTTTATCTTCAGCCTATAAAATGCCATATGTATCACTACTTTGTATGTACTTGAATGAAAGCTTTTCATTTCTATCTTTCTCATTCTCTCTTTTTGAAAGTTTTCCTTTTCATTTCTCTCATTTAATATTACTCTCTCTCTCTATATATACACACACACACACACACACACACACATATATTTATTACACGTTATTAACACGAACTCTAACCATCTGAGATTTGAAGAAGAAGTTTTCTCTCCTTCTTTCTATCTCAACTATATATCTATTTTGTGATATTAGTTTTGATAGATTGTTGAGTTTGTTTGCTCTTTCAAAGAACACTGTATTTTTTACTCCAAATGGTAAGAAAATTTTAATTATTGATTATTGATTCATGAAATAAATTTGTTTACTTAAATGATATATGTGTTAACACTATGATCGGTTCTACCGCCTTTATTATTTAATGATCTACTAACTATGGTCGGTTCTATCGCCTTTATTATTTAATGATGGTTGATTATATCGCCTCTATTATCTACTAATTATGGTCGGTTTTACCACCTTTATTATTTAATGATTTATGACTAGTTTTACCGCATTTGTTGTTAAAATAATTCATATTATGTTATTGTTTCACTTAATGCCATTTTATTATTTATATATCATGCTAAATTGTATTTTTATATTGTTATCACATCTAGTTATTTTGAAAATGTCAAACTTGACAAAGCTGAAATTCGTGGCCTTGGATATTTCTAGCAAAAATTATTTATCTTGGATTCTGGATGCTCAAATCCATTTAGATGCCATAAGCCTCGGAAATACAATTAAAGAAGAGAATGATGCGTCATTACAATATAAAACGAATGCCATAATTTTCCTTCAGCGTCATATTAGTGAGGAGCTAAAAACTGAATACCTCACTAAAAGAGATCCACTATGTTTGTGGAAAGATTTAAAAGAAAGATATGACCATTAATAAACAGTTATTCTCCCAAAGGCTCGGGCTGATTGGCAGCAACTGCGGTTGCAATATTTTAAAACTGTAGCTGAATACAACTCTGCCCTATTTAAAATCAGCTCTATACTGAAATTGTGTGGTGATACCATCACTGATGAACTTTTGTTCGAAAAAACATTCACCACATTTCACGCCTCGAATGTATTATTACAACAACAGTATCAAAAACGTAGATTTGAAAAATATTCAGAGCTGATATCATGTTTATTTATGGCAGAGCAAAATAACGAGCTTTTGTTAAGAAACTACTACTCTTGTCCAACTGGATCGACACTGATCCCTAAAACATATGTTGCCTCATCCCGTGGTCGTGGACGTGGACGTGGTGGTAGAAATGGCTATAATAATGAATATGGTCGTGGTAAAAATAAATACCACAATAATGAATATAGTCGTGGTAGAAATCACTCTTATTATCGTAAATTATATCAATTCTCAAATTTTCGCAATCAGAGATCCACACCATATCCCCAAAGGAATGATTATAATGAAATGAAACAAGTAAAAGGGAAGGATATGGCTCAACCTCCCAAGGCACATGATAATACTTGTTATCGGTGTGGAATGATAGGGTATTGGCAAAGTATTTGTCGTACACCTAAGCATCTTGCTGAACTTTACCGAGCCTCGATGAAATAAAAGAGGAAACAAAAAGAAATGAATTTCATTGATCATGATGAGCCAGTTGGCATCACAAATCTAGATGTATCAGATTTTTTTGAGGACCGTGATGGAAAGATAGACTTCCTGATTGGTGATGGAAATGTCCACACCAATTAATCCTATTTTCATTTTATGTTCTGTCTACTATGTTATTTTCAACAAGTTTTTATTTTCCTTGTATTAAAGTTTTTATTTTCTAATTTGTATTAAAGTTTCTTTTGTTATAAATGTTTCTTTTCTAATAAAGAAATTTACATAAATAGAAATGGATCTGACTAGTTCCAAAATAAATAGTGAAGATATATGTCTTGCAGATAATGGAATGACACACAATCCTCCGAGATTAAAAATATTTTTCTCACCTAACTTTGACAGACGCAAGTGTCAATATAATATCAGGTCCCACCGACTTGATTGAAGGCTCCAGACGAGCCAACATCATTTTACCACATGGAACAAGATTACAAATCAATGATGCCTTATATTCTACAAGATCTCGAAGAAATTTGTTGAGTTTTAAAGACTTGCGTCGTAATGGGTATCATATTGAGACCGCAAATAAATTAAATGTGGAATATCTCTACATTAATTACTTCCATTACCTCATGCAAGAAGCTGATATTAGAAAAACTCCATACTTTCTCTTCTGGGTTATACTATACAACCATTAGGACAATTAAGTCAAATGCTGTGATACATAAAAAATCTTATGACTCAGAACTTTTTATGCTTTGGCATGATTGACTTGGTCACCCGGGGAGTACAATGATGCGTCGAATTATTGAAAATTCACATGGACACCCACTAAAGGATCAAAAAATCATCTTACCAAATAATCATCTATGCACCGCCTGCTTACAAGGTAAGTCGATTATCAGACCATCCCCTTAAAAAGTCATTGTTGAATCTCCCCCATTTTTACAACGAATTCACGTGGATATATGTGGGCCAATTCATCCACCCTGTGGACCATTTCGCTATTTTATGGTCTTAATTGATACCTCAACACGATGGTCACATGTTTGTCTACTTTTTACTCGCAATGTTGCATTTGCTAGACTGCTTGCTTAAATCATCAAATTACGGGCACATTTTCCTGATTACCTAATTAAGACAATCCGTCTTGATAATACCGCTGAATTTTCTTCTCAAGCTTTTGATGACTATTGCATGTTAGTTGGAATTAATGTTGAACATCATGTTGCATACACTCATACCCAAAATGGTATGGCTGAATCTTTTATTAAAAGACTTCAATTAGTTAATTGGTCGTCCTTTGTTTATGCAAACAAAATTACCTATTTCTGCCTGGGGATATGCCATATTAGATGCTGCATCATTAGTTCATATACGACCAACTGTTTTTCATAAGTACTCACTATTGCAACTTGTTTTTGGTCAAGCACCCAATATCTCTCACATACGAGTTTTTGGTTGTGCTGTATATGTTCCAATTGCATCACCCCAACGCACTAAAATGGGTCATCAACACAGACTTGGAATTTATGTTGATTTTGATTCTCCATCTATTATTAGATATCTTGAACTTCTGACATATGATGTTTTTAAAGCACGATTTGTTGACTGTCATTATGATGAGGCTGTTTTCCCACCATTAGGGGGAGAAAAGGTACAGCAGGAACGTGATCTTACTTGGAATACCCTATAATTGTCTCATTTTGATCCTCATACAAAACAATGTGAACAAGAAGTTCAAAGGATCATTCACTTGCAAAATGTTGCAAATCAATTACCTGATGCATTTACTGATACAAAGAAAATAATAAAATCACATATACCAACTGCAAATATTCCAGCACAAATTACTATCCCTTAGGGACCTTCCGTCAGTAATACAGCAAATGAATCTAAAACACACCTGAAGCGTGACAAACCAATCGGTGCAAAAGACACTGCTCTTCGTAAAAGGAAATCACAAAGAAAAATTGGCACTCCTAAAGAGCCAACAAAAGGAGCAACATATATTATTGATCAATCTGAGATAATAGCCTTTAATACGGCAGAGACTCTTGATGAGGCCCAGGTACCTAAAAATGATGAAATAATAAATATTGATGAGGTAAAGGCAACCAATAATGATATGGCTCTTGATGAGGCACAGGTACCTGAAAATGATAAGAAAGAAAAATATGGAACGAGATGGAATAGAAATGAAATTGTTGTCGACAACATATTATCATGTCATTGCTCTTGATATTGATAATGAAGATTAGGAACCTCAAAATGTCGAAGAATGTCGACGAAGAAATGATTGGCCAAAATAGAAAGAAGCGATGCAAGCAGAGTTAAATTCATTAGCTAAACGTGAAGTATTTGGACCTGTAGTCTAGACACCTGAGGGTGTTAATGTTGTTGGGTACAAATGGGTATTTGTACAAAAGCGTAATAAAATCCTGAGATACAAAGTCCGACTGGTAGCTCAAGGTTTTTCATACAGACCTAGTATGGATTATGAGGAAACATACTCCCCTGTGATCGATGCACCTACATTTAGATTCATAATATATTTGGCAGTCACAGAAAGATTGTATATGCATCTAATGGACGTGGTTACAACATATTTATATGGATCATTAGATAGTGATATTTATATAAAAAACCCAAAAGGATTTAAAATGCCTGAAACAAAATCACGTAGTATGTACTCGATAAAATTACAACGATCCTTATATGGATTGAAGCAATCTGGACGAATGTGGTACAATCGCCTTAGCGATTACTTACTCAAAGAAGGGTATGTGAACAATCATCTTTGTCCATGCATTTTCATTAACAAATCAAAATTTGGTTTTATTATTATTGCAGTATATGTTGATGACCTGAATCTTGTGGGAACATTGGACAAGATCGAAAAGACGGCCACTTATTTAAAGAAAGAATTAAAAATGAAAGATCTTGGAAACACAAAATTATGCCTTGGG